TGGTTACATAGATGCCTTTGTTTGCTGTCACTGTTTACAGCTGGTTGATGGTTTCAGTTAACTTCTTGTATCCATATTTGTGTGTAAATGGGATAAAAAAAATCCCAATACTTCAGTGTTATTTTAATGGATTCTCCCAGAAGAATTTGTCTGGACTATCAAAATACCCTGTTGCCAAATGGGAGCGGGAGGAGGAAAGCAAAAAATCTTCTCGTTATTGTTTCCAGACAATGATTTGTGTCTTCATTATTTTTGGACAACGGGTCTACCAAACATAGTGCTGTCAATCTTCATAATTCAAATAATCTCAAATCAGAACTCTGCCAGGTCATTGAGGTAGGCCACTGGTGCTGTGTGTGTTGCTGTGATGCACCAAGAAACTTCATCGTGAAGCTAAAGCATTTCAGCCTTTTGTAATCACTACCTAACTTATTTAGATTGAGGGGTTGTACTGTAAACAATTATCAGTGGTAAACAAGGTAAGATTATGGCTATAATCTATTTTTAAAAGCTAGCACAATGCCTGGATTGCCTATTACCACCTTGCAACCTACCCTATCTTTACTGTTCTCTGCAGTACCATTGCAGTGCTCAAAGTAGTAAGTTACAATAAAAGAAACTTCAGGAGAAACTAAACTCCTGAGCCATTTGCAGTGCTGCTGTAGGGTTTGCAGAGATTCTCTGTGTAGGCACCTGAGCCCGTGCTTTACTCGGGGGCTGAAACACAAGGAGGAGGACTCTGTTGATTTAGGATAATAATCTCCTTTGTCTTCTGAGCAATACTGCGTTGGTTGGTGGGGTTGGTTTTTCTTCTAATTCACCAAAAGCAAAACACTACAAGGCAAGTTTAATTTCCACAGCCTGACTTCTGTATTTCTCAAGCTGATACAATAAGGCATATCTTAGTTGTTTTACCCAGTGTTATGCATTCTTGTTCTGTGAATGCTGTTCCTCCAGCTGTAGTGAGAACTCCTCAAGATGTGGGGGTTTCCATTGCCATTGGCTGTCATTCCTTTACTGAGCCGTACCCCACTAGAAAAACAAACAACTTGTGTTTAATCACCTGGTCTCACTCAGTTGTTCCAGGAGAAGTTTGCTGGACTAAGGCATTGCGAGATGTGGTCCATGGTGTTGGCTGATTGTGAGACACGTTTCTGACAGGGAAAGGGGATGGGAGATGTGAGAACTGATCAACCTGCCTTTGCTAGTGGAAGGCTTTGTTTACAGCCGTTTGTCTCCTGTTGTGAAGGACGGATGATAAATGGGGTTAGGCTAGCCCAATGTTTAGATGACATTCATGGGAATTATTCATCTATGATTGTTATGGTGAGGTCATGTGCTGTGTCCCATGCTATGCTGCTGTGCCAAGAGATTTATTTTAATAGAAGCCTTTAAGTAACTGGCATTCTTGCTAATCATGGTGCATCTGCTTCTCTGGGTTCCCTGTTATGAGTAATTTAATGCTATTACTTTAGCTAGAAGGGATCTGTGTCACCATCTGTCCTGGAAAGCTATTGATGGGACTGTGCAGAACATGGAGTGTCATCAGCAGAGAGAGGGACTTCTAAAGGGATGACTGGATTTCCTGTTGTAATACAATATAAGACAGTTTACTGTGATTACAGCTTAGATAACTTGCATATAGAGGCTGTTAGCTACTCTTTGATTTTGTTGGGGACCATTCCTCAGATATTTATATAGAGGGAAGATCCTGTTTTCAGTGAGTAGCAAGGAGTAATAACCCAGGTAATCTGCTAAATAAAGTCTCTACTTCTCGTAGGGGTTGTGGGTCTATGAGGGTGAAGCCTTGAAGACTGACCCTAAAATGCCTGCACATCTGCCACTCCCAGCAGACAGATGCTCTTTGGAGAGGGCTTGCCAGACACTTTTCAAGTCAAATGCTTTCCTAATCAATGGTTATTTTTTAATTGTTGTTTGCAGACCACTTCCTTGTAACAAGCCCTCTCCACGCTTTAGCGGAGTCACAATAGACATGAAGAGGCTATATGGTTGAAAAGCAAATTACTCTCCACTTCCATAAGTGGTGTGCTTTCACAGTACCACTTAGGCGCAGAGTATCATCCTGGTCTCTTGAGTGCGTGTGGCTGATGTCTTTATTTTTATTGTCTGAGAAAAGTATCTTCTTTTTGTCTTTATGACTGGTTGGTAATGGTACCGTTTGCCATCTCACCTGTGTTGTTCGGTCCTTCCTGACCTTGCTGGGGCTTGTTGCCTTCTCAGCAAGCTAACTGGTGAGCATGAGAGCACACAGGGCTGGAAAGCAGCTTTGTGTAGGTTTATCATGCAGGGTTTTTCTTTGACCATACTATCCTTCCCAGCAGTAAGTTATGTTGTGTTTTGAGTATAAATTGGCCTGACTCAAAGGTCCTGGCTCAAAAGATAGTTTGGGGTACAAGCTTTGCAGCTCTGATTTGTTGGGGTTTTTTTGGCATGCAGAGGTGCAGCTCTTATTTCACATTAATCTAAGAAAATGTTCTTGCTGTCCCTTGTTGTATCTTGGAATGACAAGCCGGAGGAATGTGTAGCACCAAAATTTGCCTAAGGCTTTCGACTGGATGAAAGAGGCTGTGGATTGATCATTTGGAGAAGCTGAAGGAGGAAGCTTGCGCTGCTCTCAGAATAGGGTTCGTAGTCTTCTGCAGATGCATAGAAATGACTAAAATAGCCAGAAATGGGACATGAACCGACTTCCGCAAAGAGTCTCAGTTAATTTGGGTTGTTCCCTTCTTACTTCCCTCACCGAGTGTTGGGACCATAACACCGTGCCACCCATCACATCTCCAGCCATCAGACAGCTCTGTCTGAGAAGCTGAGTGTTAGCGCTACCAAGCTGCTTAGGGAAGTATTCGTTTAAAGCAAATTTGGCCAATCTTGCAGGTTTGCTGGGGTTCTAGCTGTAGGGTGAGAACCAGGCAAGTCATCTTCATGCAGAGAGGTTTTATCAAAACTGGTTCAATGGGGGAAAGAAAAGTGGAAAATGTTAGGGTTAGCTCTGTGTGTTTGGACTGTCATTGTTGTCTGGGCTTCAAAGCCAGACCCTCTGAAGAGTGTCAAGAGGTGGAGAGCTATTGGAGGAATGGAAGGCATATGGCGTATCTCAGATGTAGCTCTGAAAGGAAAAGTATGAAATCTCACTCTGAGAAAGGAAGCATACAGGGTATTTTTATCCATTTTTACATTGAACATGGCTATTAAAAAGAAATCTTCAGTGTGTTGGTTTTCCAGTGCAATATGAGCATTTGTAAATCTGGGAACCAGGTGCTGAGTCCACTTAGTGCGGTGGTTTCTTTTGAAATTTAAAATCTACTAAATATGTTTTGCTCCCAAATGAGGTCTTGCAGATTTGCCTTGGAATTGCTGGTAACCACACAAGCTAGAATGGAGTTTTAAATCTAGCCGGTGTATGATTCTACATGTGATAACTTGGCACAAAGAGAACCCATATTTCCTCTGCTTATGATTTCCACGTGCTTATGCCATATAATAAAACTCTAGATCTCCATAATTTGTATCAACTGTTCAGAGCAGATGCTGTGCTATTATTCTGTCTGACACATTCGCTATGCCTGCTGGGTTACTGCCTTTTCCGAGACCTTTGAATTAACCAGATTTTTGGGTCATCAAGATTATTTAATGTTACTGTCATAAATATTTGTACAGGACTTGGTCAGTGCTTATATAAGAACTGAAAGACAGTAATTTGTTTTAAGAGGATGTGTGTTTTAATGAACTGCCAGCTGAATGTTAGATATAAACTGTAAAAAAGTGCTTTGGAGCAGGAAAAAAATTACTATTTAGACTGTCAGTTATTTAGATTTGCCGGTTACAGCTGTTTAAATTTAAAATCACTTGAGAGTTCTTTAAAAAGAGGGCTATTTACTTCTAAATAGCTGTGTTGGCTTATCATCCTGTCCTCAAAAGAGGAGAAGCTGATCTCTTGCATCTTATTAATCATTTTCTGTTAAACCATGTTATCCTTTGAATTGTTTGTATGCCAAAAATGAGAGGTTGTTGTTGTGTTATATTTCACAGTTGATTCTTGTATAAAATTCCATTTTTTTTTTCTTACTTTCCAAAGTACTTTCCTCTCAAATACAAACAATAAACTCAAAATACTAACAATATGAATCTGTTGTTTGGAAATGATGAAGGTTATACATCATCCAATCTGCTGAAATGTGTTACAAATGAATAAATATTTGGTTTGCCTCTAGCTCTTCTTAGAAGCACTGAAATTAGTATTTTTTTATTGAAGGAATTTTTGCCAGGTTTCTCAATGAGGGACAATGTTACAAATAAGCCAAAATAAGGAGGCTGCCAGGGGGTGCTGTGTGCATTCTGGCAAACTTGGGTTGTTTCTTCTAAATATCTTAATTAGCAGAGCATAGTCTCCAAGCTGTTCTTGGAGAGCTGCTGCCCTGCCAGACCACAAGCAACAAGCCCCCAAATCCTGTGGTTTTAGGTCATAAAATAGTCATCAGTGCTGTGATGTTGCACCGAGCGTGTGTATGATTCTTCACGCTGATACAACACCACGAGAATCTGCCAAGTTGGCTAAACTCCCCTGCACCGTGTCATCCACAGATGAGAAAGCTTTTCCTGCTCCCGAGTGGTTCACAGCTGGAGCCCAGGTTTCGTGTGCTCCCAGGAAGAGCCATGTGTAACCTGTTGAAGGAGCAGGAATCGAGGTGTCATTAGGTCACCATTCAGACTGTCTCTTATTGCAAATCCGGGTTTTTACAGGATCCCTGATAAATCAGATCTCTGATCTGCGTTAGCCAGATGAGTCTCTAAATCTTTTCCTTTATAATCTCTAGGTTTGGTAATCTTACTGCCAGGATCCTGCTACCGTTCTGCTGTCTGTATGAAGCGCTGCTCAAAAGGAGTCCTAGAAACCATCCCCGACGTTCATGTGCTTTGAGACCTTGGTATGTACAATGCACTGGGAGGATTAACTGTGACATATTTTTCCCTTTCAGAAAAAGAGCAGAGAGGAGACATGTGGGGAAGGCAGTGGAGTAGAGATCCTGGAGAACAGGCCGTACATGGATGGACCGGGAGGCAACGGGCAGTATACTCACAAAGTGTACCACATTGGTATGCACATACCCAGCTGGTTTCGGTCAATATTGCCCAAGGCAGCTCTGCGAGTCGAAGAGGAGTCGTGGAATGCGTATCCTTATACCAGGACAAGGTAAAACTTATCAAGATGTCCAGAGACATCTCCCTACTTTAGAGAGAGGATTTGATGTCACTCTGTGTGGCAGTGGCATCTCTTTCATCTCCAGTAATATCCTTTAGAGAAACTGGGGTCAAGCCCTAAAATTCTTACACAGTGCTTAACCTCAGGAGTTGCCAGAGCTGACTGCGTACATACTTGGGAATTTGTGGTTGCTCTAAAATGCGAGCTGTTTTGTCCATCAAAGCATGGAAAAGCTTGAATGGTTTTTATTTAGTCTGGTATCCTGCACTGCATGTTCTGCTTAATGTCGCAGATATCTGCTAGCTCAGTGAAGTTATAAATGTACAGTGATGGGACAGTTGTCATGCTGAACACTGTCAAGTAAGACAGGATTCATTTGTTTTAGAGGGGAAGAAAAATCTTAATAAATAAATAAAAAACCTGGTGCTTCTTTTCTGTCTTACTGTCATTTAGCTAGAAAATAACAAACCTACATCCTATGGTTTTCACCCTGAGACGGGAAGAGCGCCAGAGGCTCTGTGAAGCCCTCAGGGACCTCCTCGTTTCAGCTGATTTTGTCTGGAAGGACTTTAGATACTGTGGAATAAATAGCCTCTATGCCAGTTAAGCTGGTTTAGGGCATTTGCCCTTTTCCAAGTTTACAAATCTGATATTGCTGTCACCTTTCTTAATAAAAAGGCTTTAATGGATATTTTTATTATTATCAAAAAACTAGAAAAGTTTCATAGTTCTGATTTTGCTGCTCCCTACAAGTAACATTAGTCTGGGTGAAGTGGGGAGTCAGTGCCTGCGCACAAGCAGTTGCTCATGACTAAATATAATGGAGCTGTCTGACTTTGAAGTGATTAAAGTCCACTGCCGGGCTGTTTTTATCTGTTCTCTTGAAATGCCCATGAGTCAATCAGTTGGCCAGGAAACCTGGCGCTGCACAGAACCAGTCCGTATTTTATTCTGCCATAGCTTCCAGGCAAGAACTCTGCTTTTCTCCTGGTAGAGATGCATTTCCAAGGTTGTCCTTGTGTTTGTATCTGTGTCATACCTGCAAGGATAACATAACTTGTGAGTACAGCAGACCCAAAAGTTATCTCCTTGCTGGAAACTGCTCCTTTAAAAGCAGTCTGTCCTGGTAATCTTCTCCTGGAGGAGATGTTGTCAAACTAAATTGCAGGTTTTTGTCAGTGTCTTTGCAAAGTGAGACGTGGTAGTCCTCTCAGGATTTCTCCTGCCAGTGCTTGCTTGTTGCCACCCTGGGAGGTTTTTTCTTGGTCAATATGGGTGCCCAGTCTCCAGTAATTGCATGGGGTACATTGGTGTCTTCTCACCTGCAATCCATGTAACACCTCATGGGGAGCACATCCCTTTGCTGTGGGCTTGGGATTTTACCAAACCAGAGCTATTCCAGTGAAGCCACACGTCCGAGGCAAGCACGTGTCTTAAGAAGTTATCAAAGAAAATCTCTTGAGTCTGTAGAGTTGGTATTTTAAGCGTACCTGAAGTAAAACACAAGTGAAGGCTGGCTGGGATTTGAGGCTGATTTTGTACATCTTAGGAAAGCATTTTCTCCGCTTGTCAAGCTGAGCGGGATTAATTCTAAGTGCATTGTTCTCGTTTTCAGGTATACGTGTCCTTTTGTGGAGAAGTTCTCTATTGATATTGAGACATACTACAAAACTGATCCGGGAGACCATGTAAACGTGTTCAACCTTTCTCCTGCAGAAAAAAGACAAACCATTCTAGGTGACTAGCCTTTTTCTTTAACTTTTTTTTTTTTTCTGCTATGTAAAGTGTTTTGCTTGGTGTGTTCCATCTGTCTGTCCCATTTTCCCCTAAACACACACCTGCATCCCTCTTGGTGTCAGGCTGCTGGTTAGGGTTACATCAGGTAGAGGGAGGACACCTGAGTTCTCTTCTAGGCATGATGTAAATCACATGGAAATAATTTGAATCCCCTGTCTGTAAAATGAAGCTGATGCTTTCCTGTCTTATTTGTGCAGCTCCTGAGGGGAGTAAGACATCTAATGATTTTTGGGAGTAAAAAGAAATAACCATAAAAGAGGAAAATATTGATGTATATTTGTGTAGCTCCTTCAAATATATGAAAATCATTCCTATCTGCACTTCTGAAACATGAAGGTGTATTTCATTTTTGCTTCCCCTTCTTTTAGTCTTGCCCTCATGCAGGTTAATGCTGCAGCTTCACAGCTATCTTTGGGAGATTGGGTTAATGAGCCTCATAGATGTATGGATTTAATGAGAAAAAGCAAAAGGGAACGTCTTACAAAAAGGCAGAGAATGGCAAGTGTCATAGCAATTCCTGTCTTGCTGTCCATCGTGGTCTTTGCCCTTGGCAATTGCTGGGGACCCGGCTGCGTGGCAGGGAGCCCTGGCAGTGACAGCCACGCGGGACTGAAGCATCCCTTGCTCTGAAGCCGCTGGGACTGGAGAAGTGTTGAGCTCTGGCTGACTTCTGGCAGTCCCACGCTGTGCTGGCCACAGCAGGAGCTCTGGGGAAGGACATCTAGTGGCTGCTCCGGCTCCTTGAGTGCTGTTGACGTGTGGGACATAGCAGTCATCCCGTGAAATTTTACTTGAGTGTTAAGTGATTTAAAATTCTCTGTTTTGAACTTCAGATTGATTGTCCTCATTCCTAAGCCTATCTGATCGGGCTTTCAGTGCTGAACAAATAGGCTTGAGTCATGCTGCCTCATTGAGAAGTGTCGGAAGAACTGTTGTTTCTTGGGAAGTGCAATCCTGCCCTTCAATCCAAAGTTCAGATACTTCTGCTGAGATCTGGAGTGGGGGCTGCAGATCTTTAAAATGCGTGCATTCACTCTGCTCCCACTGCAGTTTCCACTTCTCCATTGTTGAAGTGTTAACTGGGACTTAGATTAAACTTTCTGCCTTCCATAGTACATCTGGTCTAACTAGCACTTGGGGAGTTACCAGTAACTTCACTTGATGGACTCCAAAGATAAGCTGTTCAGTGGGTAGCTTCTTTTCCATAACAGTGCTAAGAAAGGACAGGTGTATTTAACTGTCTCAGATGAGACAGAGCTGTAGCACTAGGAGTGATATTAGAAAAGCTGAAAGATGGAGTGTACAAAAGATCTTTTTGGAGCTGGAAAGACGGAGTGCGCGGATCTGCCAGAGTGCTGTGGATCTGCAGTCACTGTGGGCAAAAATATCTATTTGGAGCAAAGCCTCTGTTTGCTGGAACTGTGCGTACTAGTTCCTCTGGCAGAGCTGATCGCTGCCCAGGAGCAATGTATAAACAATTTAAATATCAGTTGTTTAAGTGTAAGTAAAAAGAAACTAAATTGCTATAATGCTTCTGGGACTTACTAAAACAGAAATAACTCCTGAAAAATGGTATTTTCTTTTGTTTGGGAAAAGGAAATGTCTAACTGTTTCTATTCTCTTTCTATAGATCCTATTGATATTGTTAAAGATCCTATCCCTCCACATGAATACAAAGCTGAGGAGGATCCGAAGCTGTATAAATCAGTGAAGACTAAAAGAGGCCCCCTGTCAGAAGACTGGATTCAAGAGTACAAGAACAACCCTGGGAAATACCCCATCATGTGTGCATATAAACTTTGTAAAGTCGAGTTCAGATACTGGGGCATGCAGTCGAAAATTGAGCGGTTCATCCACGATGTTGGTGAGCATTTATAGTCTTGCACAGTTCACTCTTGACTCTTTAATGTTGTTTCTGAATTGAAACGCAAAGGTGAGGTATGTGCAATGTATCAATATCCCAAGATACGTCTGTGAAGAGATTCTCAGATCTAATTATTCTTTTGCAGAGCTGTGGGTTAGTTCAGGAAAAATCATGTTATTCTGTCACTTATCATTGTATGTGGGAATCCAAACCGCTGGAAGGGTTGCCACTGAAAAGGGTTTCAAGTCCTGTATAGGCAGGAGCTTGCATTCTCTTCTTTTAGACAAGGATTTGACTATTCAACTTTGCCGTATCTTTTTCAAAATACACCAGTTTTCTTTATTTTGGACAAAATCCTCAAAGGCTGCTCAAAGAAATTAGCTTCACCTGGTTTCAGAAAACCTTTCCCTGGAACATCCCTAGTTTCTACCTGCTGTGTGACAGCAGTGGTGGGTCTCTGTGTGGCTGTACATCTCTGCCCCCCAGGCTGCGGTGTTCAGGGCTCCCCACCTCACTGTGCTATAACCCACCACAGGTCATTGACAGCTCTCAGTTGAGAGTAAATGCTGCTTTGATTGATGCAGCATTCTTAGGCGAATGCTTTTAAGGAGGTATTATTTGTGTCCCAGAAGTAACTAAGTAGAGACGGTGCAGGTGGTAGCAGTGCTGGCAGCAATTTGTTCTTTGCAGAAAATCTATAACACAACCGATACAGTTTCTGAGCCTTACCAGAAGAGACAGGATCTATGACTGGGTGGAAAACTTAAAGAACGTTTTAAAGAAGCATTCTCATCTCAAAAAAAAAATAAATGCAGAGCTGGGGCTCTTCTATGGCAAAGAAGGGTCATGTAAAGGATACTACTTGCTTTCTGTTTTACCTCAAAACCAGGACAGTCCTCCTACATGACCTCTAGAGCTGTCCCTTCTATATGCAAAGCTTCTTTGAAATGCCTGATGCTAGCATAAATAAGTAATTTCATAGCTCTTTTCAGTCATACTGTGCTCCTGAGAGCTAATGTGGAAAACACTGATAGTGTGCACCACTCTCTGAATAGTCACAGGTTGCTTTCTTAAAGCTCCTTTGGTTTTACTTTACCTCCAGATGGAAGGTTTTACCTGTTACAGACTGTATTACAAGTGGCTCTCTGCAATGAGCTCCCTTGGCGTTGCGGTGACACGGGTTAATTTAGTGTACACTGCAAAACATGGGGGCAGAATAACAACTCCATTGTATCTGTTAAATGAAAAAGAAGCATGTGACTCTTCCAGTTGTTCAGAGGTGTTTGGCATAGATTAAACTGTGGTCCCTTAGAAACGTTTCTTTTGTATTTCATGAAAGATTGCCTGCCATTTTCCTCTTGATTGAGGCTTTGCGGAGAGCCGAGCCAGCTCATTGTCTGCCTTTCAAAAGCCTTTCCACGCTGTTGTAATGATGGCAAATACTGTTTTTCAAAGTGGTTAAGATGCATAAAATCAGAAAAGTCTTTAAGGCAAGGCAAAGTTGAGTGAGTGAAAAGTGAAAGCAAAAGCTTTGGGTATCCACAGAGGATGCGTAGCCTTCTCCTGCAATGGGGTAGCCATGGGGAAGCCATTAGTGAGTGGGAAAAGTGCCAGAGCACATCGACTGAAGACAGCAAGGTACGATGATGTTTAAGTTGGAAAGATTTGGGCTACAACATGACTGATGGGGCTTATATGCTGGGGTTTCAACTGGTGACTGAAAGCAGATGGAGACCTCTGGTCCACCATCGGCTGCACGATGCACAAGCTCTCAGGTGCCAGAGATATTCTTGTGGGCCAGCCACTCCTTGGCATTTTTCCCCTGGTTCCTCTGTTCCCAGCTCCTGCAAATTTGTTTCTTGGGGAATTAGCGCTTTCTGTGCAGGGTCGCCAAGGCAGCAAGAAAACGGAGGCAGAAACCAAGAGCAGGATCCAAATCGATGCCCGAGGAGGGGAGCAGTCCTTTAGTGGTGGTACAAACTAAAATTAGAGAATGGTTTTAAAGAAGAACATGTCTGAGTTAAGTGACGGATGGATTGTAATATGTAGAAAGGCTACTGAGTGCAGAGGGAGTAACTCTGGGGGATGGTGTTGAAATGTTCTCAGTCTTACTGAGTGCAACAGCCATTTTTTCTGATGACTAATTGGACAGTTACTCAGTGCTTTGACAGCCTGAGACACAGACTAAAATTGTGGGCTATTAGTCTACTTGGCTGTAATATTTGTATGCTTTTTTACTCCTTTCCCATAGAATTTAAAGTTTAATTGGACTGGCACTGCATAATACTCTGCTCCCACTTGCTTCCTAATGGTGCACGTGGGCTCTGATTCTTTGCTGTTAAAAAAGTGTGGTGACGGTGTATGGGTTATTGATTATATACTATGGCAAAGTGTGTTCCCATCCCAGTAACTGGAGCTTTGTCTAAGCCAGTGTGTCTTGGGCTAAATATGCCCAAATTGTTGCACAGTGATAAAGCGGGAGCTGTTTTAGCAAGCTCTTTTGGAGAACTTTTACTTCACTTAAGCTTCACTTCACTTCCTCGAATGGAAAGTTCATGCAGAAGGACACTGCCCGTTGTGGCCTGCAGGTAGTCTTTTCAAGGGTAGGCAGGTTGATGATAGCACGATGCAGATGTCACCACAGGCTTTTCTTCGTGAGTGGTGTGAGCAAGGCAAGAAGGGATGATAGGGAAGCAAACAGACAGAACTGCGGGTTACCTTTGATCCAATCCATTCAGACAACCAGAACTGTACTGACGAGGTTATGGGATCTGTTGTGACATGGAGGAAATAGTGTTGCACAAGGAAAATCAGGTCTCCTTTACCTGCTGCCAGGATGTTGTGAGAGTGCATTATAAAATGATTTGGGATGTTGCCACTGAGTACATAGTCAATAGGTCTCTGAACGGTTGTATTTTATGGATAGTTGAAGGAGTTTGGGCAGGAGTTGGTGGTGGGTTTTTTGTTTTGGCTTTTTTTCCATTTACTTTTTGTTTCAGTTACTATTTTTACTTCCAATTTGAAACACAAACCCAGAACTACAGTTAAAAACAAAAGCTTTTTAAATTCAGCTAAAGACTTTTCTCTGCCCTGGCTTGTCTCATGGTCATTTACACTTATTTTGTGAGATTAAGCTCAACACCACAATCTGCAGGCAAATCATTTACAAGAGTTGGCACCTCATGGATTCAGCCAGTCTTTGCAGCAGAGTTGTTGAGGTGGTGAGTTTGAAAGGCAAGTGATTTGAATGTTTGCACCCTGCTAGACTCTTCACAGACAATCTTTCTGCACAACGCAGTGGGAAATATTATAATTAAATCAACACAACAGTGATGGGTACTTCTGAACTCAGTCTGCATGTGTACATTTGTGCATGTGTGGTTTCCTTGGTTTTCTTAAACCAAAGCGTTGTGCTCTCTAGAGAAACAGTGAAGTCTTGCTAACTACTGATATTACTGAAATTGGCTGGTACCTGCAACCTTATAAAAACCCTCTTCCTGTTATTTTTGATTGACTTTAGTTGGGTGACTTGCCCGAGACTGTGGGGTTGTTCTCCAGTTGTGGGCAAGAAGGCTCAGATGAACATGGTGCACACTGGGTGGAGGTGGAAAACCTACTCTAAAATTGTCCCCAATTCTGTGCTGCTCAGTTCTCTTTTTGCACCAGAAAGACCTCTTTGGGAGACCACCTCCTACCCTACAGTTCTTCCACACTGCTGGCTTTGTTTGCTGTGTGGTGGTGGCAGGAGGGATGGAGGAGTGTTGCTTTGCCTAGAGCCTCACCTCTATTGGGCTCGTTGCATTCTGTCCCACCTGGAATAAGGTGACCGGTGGGATGCTGTACCTGACCTGTCCTCTCCAGCCAGCTTCCACTGCCCAGGGACAGCTTGCCACAGGCTTGTAAGGCAAACTGCCAAATGGGCTGCAGCCAGCCATGAGGCACAGCTCAAAAGCACAGTGTGTGGGGTTGAGTGTGGGACAGGGACTTCTCAGGATGAGCAGGAGGCATTCACGCCTCCCCTCCTGCTGGAGAGAAAGACAAAAGCGAACTGGACCACAGATGCCTTCAGCACTGTCCTGATGGGCATCTCTGATCTGTTAAAAAGAGAATTTTCCCCAATTGCACTCTGTTTCCCAAGTCTGATCTGTCCCCTCCTCTTCACTTTTCAAACGAAAAGCTTGTTTTTCTCTAACGTTTTGATAAAAAATGCTTTAAGACTTGATTTTTTCCATTGCACAGGGAGGAAAGCAGTGTCTGTAGAGGTGAGGTCAGTCATTTGTAGCTGGATCTTGAATCTGTACAGCTGGGGGGGGCACTCGCTGGGTCCTCTGGGTCTCTGCTGCCTATTGGAAGGCTTCAGCGCTGCAGGCTGAAGATTAATTCAGTGATACGCTCACTGCTGGGCACTGAGGGACTGCTTAAGTTTTCCATCCCTAGCAGTGAAGATTTTTTTCAGCAAGCTATGACTTCTATTTTTCAATTTATTCTGTACCTGGACAGCCTCATTCTCTTCCAGGATTTCTCCCTGTGTTTAAGAAAGAGAAATGCAGCATTGCTGGCACATCCCTGGTGAAGGCCAGAGGCTAGGAAAATAATCTCATTCTTTTGGACTTCATAACTAATCTGGAGCGAAAGAGGCACAACAGCCCTGTAATGCCATTCTATTTTCAAAAGAACGAGGCTTTAAGGAAGGGTGATTTGGGATGTCTAATCAAAGTGATGTGAGCAGTGCAGATGGAGAGGTCTGTGGGTTGGGAGGAAGCAATACAGGCAATTTTTGTGATCTAAGACATGAAGTGAAAGAAGGCAGAGAGGAACTTTAGTAGACTTTTTTTTTACCCCCAAGTGGTTTTCATGTTCCCTCTGATGTTAGTCCATTAAAACAAAGATATGCAGTTGGTGGCATCTGTGCCTTTATGCAGCATTTCCAAGGAGCTGGTGCACTGATACATCAAGGCTGGGTCAAGGAATGTGAGCAGAGGCTGCTGAGACCTGGAACAGAAGAAGCCTTGGTATGAGAGCAAGGGGACCTTTCTCTTCTGTCTGGTTACAGTCTGTTTTCAAGGTGTTTCAAGCGAGGTAGAAGTGGACATTGTGAAAGTCCAAAGGATAGTTGTGGTGTTTGGACCTGAATTACAGCAAGGGAAACCTTCTGTTGGCTTTCAGTGTGGATGTGATGGGAGTTTAATCTTCGTTTTTAAGCTCAGCTGGTTGTCAATCATAACAGGAGGTGAAGAGGCTAAAACATTCTCCTGTAGTTCTGCAAAAAGTAATCTAGCGGGGGAAATAACTCTGAATCTCAACTAAGGTTGAACAGAATTAAGTTGCCAAGGCCCCTTGTTCTGCCCCCAGAAGGTCACAGTGTGCTGTTTCAAACTTGCCTCTCCTACGTGGAGCTCCCTTCTGAAAGTCAGGCAGAGAAATGCATAAAATATTGATAGATTTAATCTTACTGTACAAATGAAGTTCAGGTTGAGTTGGTCCATTGCGTTAGCCGCTGATCTCAATGGTTATTTCCTCCTGATAGGTTGACTTGTGATGGCTGGTGACATTAAGAATTAACCAAAGTCCAGAGCAGAAAATAAAGTGCCCAGGACTGGAAGGGAATAACTACATAAAAATTGGCTTTATATAGGATTTAAAAAATAAATTAAAAAAAAAAAAAGAAAAAAGTGATTGCTGAAATAAAAGGAATATTTAGGGTGAAAACCACAGAAACTGTGGCAGTAGTGAGATCTAAGACTTACTGTGCAACAGAGAAGCAAATGATGCTGGAAACCTTAGAAGCCTTGTGTGCAGTGGGATCATCCAGCTTTGGCCACGTTCCTGGAAATGGAGGTGGTTTACGAAGGGCCATCTTTCCTCTTGGTGGTGCTTTTAAATGATTTTAATGTAGCCTGTTGATTGCTCTCTATCTTACAATAGCAGTAGTGGTGGTGTGGCCTATGGTTTTTGGCCAGGGTCTGCATTAGAGTGAGAGGTTGGCTGCCCAGCCTGCCAGCTTTTTGGTGCAGTATGTTTCTGCTTAGCAGAGAATTGTGGATCCATAATCCCGGTGACAACAATTCCCACTGCTGCTTTTGTCATGTCCTTCAACCCATCTCTGCCTCAGTTTCACAGTAATTAAAGGGAGAACAATACTTACTGATTTTTGTATTTATTTCTTTTCCCCAGAAGGGCTCCTGAGAATTAGTTTGTCAATATTTATAGAAGCTTTTAAAAACACCATTGCTACTGTGTGCTCCCATCAGTAATAAATAGCAGTTTGGAGCTTTGACCTATCGTGAGCTTTTAGGCAATAATATTGGTTGAAATCCTGAGTGACTATACTGTTTTAAACGTCTTGATGGTATGATGATGTTAGTCAACAAGTTTAAGTCTTGGAGGAATGTTTCTGTTGCCTGGTCAGAAGCATTGTGTGTTGATATTGAGATAGTTCTTCCTTTCACATACGTCATATGTTGAAATATTTTAAATTGACTTTACCTGCTTCATTGTTCTCATGCAGCAGAAGACAGATGGTGTCTGCAAAGTAAAGCATCTTTATTCCCTCCCTGACTTTTCTTCCCATCCCATTATCTCAGAAGCTTGTATATGTGATGCTGTTTCGCTGATATATAGGAAACAGGTTTCCAAGGAAAGGAGGGGTTTTAGTCTTCAGCACTGATTTGGGATGTGCTTCTGTCATGTAACGATCACAGTGGGGTATGTAGTGTTCATGAAGGAACCACTTGAAACTCTCCTGCATACAAAACTCAGTGGTTTTTGTTAATGATGTTGGCTTGCTTTTTTTTTTTTTTTTTTTTTTTTTTTTTTTTTTTTTCCTTCTTCTGGGAACACACTTCAGTTTGAAGGCTGGATCCAAATGTTACATCTTCCCAGAACTTGATGGGAGTTGCAACTGTGGTCTGTGCCTGGCTTCTGCTTGGTGGAGTGGACATTAACAAGACAAAGTCCTGGATCTGGAATTAGGAAATAAATCCCTCCCCAAGTTAAAAGCAGTTGCAGAGGACTGGCTGATTTTTCCATGCATGGTTGATTAGTAAGAACTGAGGAGATAAAGTACATAAAGTGACCAGTTTCCCATCCTGACGCTTGCTATATGAAGGTTCTTTACTGTAGCTTTTAGCATTGTGTTGTTGATGCCACTGCAATGTCCTTATCATGGTGTCTTGACATTTTGGGGAAGGGAACATGGATTCCTGCAGTCTTGTTAGCATTGGTGACGGGGCGTTCTGGCTTTGCAGGCTTGCGGAAGGTCATGGTCCGTGCCCATCGTCAGGCTTGGTGCTGGCAGGATGAATGGTATGGACTCACCATCGAGGACATCCGGCAGCTGGAGAAGGAGGCACAGTTGATGCTGGCTCAGAAGATGGCCCAGTTCTGCGGTGAAAATGATACTGAGCAGCACGGAGTCAAAGACGCTCCTGGTGAGAAGGATGTTGAAGCCAACACAGTTTCACCTGTTGACACAGAGGATGTTGCTAGTAACAGTGAAACAGCCTCTGGAAGATCACTCACTAAGCAGTGGTCCACCTCTTCCAAGTCCTCACGATCTTCAAAGAGAGGAGGTAAGATGCTGATGATGACTTGCTCCTCTGAAGTGCATGGAGGTTGGGCTTTTGGGGGAGGTATGACCATGTCTCCTTGTGGCTAGCACCTTTGGGCCAATGCATATTTCTTTTGTGGGTCCTTTTAACTCAGACCTTCTCAGCTGGTGTTGGAGGCTCAGTCTTCTCAGGTGACCTGTTATGGGTTCGGAAATGTGTCTATTCATTCCATAACTGTGACTCAGTGGCACATGGCAGAATTCTTGCTGATCTCAAAAGTAGAGAAACCATGAAAACTAGTAGAAGAGCATGCAGCAGCTGGCTAGCAGCATTGGGTCTTGGAAGATGACAAGCAGCAGTACAGAGAGAGTTAGTCCCTGCTGCCCCAGACCACTAATGGCTTTTATAGGGCCTTGTCCTTCAGCAGTGTTCCCATTCTGGATGTCTGTCTGTCTGTCTGTCTGCTGTGTCACAGAACTGGCTGAGCTGTGGGTCGTTAGGGTTATAGGTTACTACCTGCCATTCCTTTCAAAAGCAGACATTTGGCTCCATGGGTGATGTGCTGTAGCTCACACAGCGAAGCACCCCCATGGGTTACTGGGGAAATCAAGGCAGGTACCCCCAAAAAAGTGGGTGGTGGCTGCTGCCTTCCACTGGTGGTGATGTGCGGTAGCTGTTCAGAAACCAAACCTCACAGCCTGCCGTTAGGTGGGACCACGGATCGTGTTTGTGCTCCCTTTTAAATACCATTCAGCCAGCTTTTGGGATTTTGCTGTTAAAGCCCCTAAGGATACCCGGTAAGGACTCAGCTTCGAGTCCTGAATTTTATCATTCACCTCTCCCTCGGCAGTCACCTCTCTTTTGCTGTGTTAAACTCTTCCCTCCCTCAGACCATTCTGTACAAAGGGGTGAATCCTCAGTGAGTTACAGACAGATGGCTTGAACCCTCAGCAGTCCCCTCTCCTTTCAGTCAAGCGCAGCTGATAGCTGGGTAATAGCTGTCACAGCAAGAGGGCAAAAAATTCTTGATTTTTTTTCTGTAAACCCCAAGGGGCAGCATTTTTTCCAGTGACAGCGGAAGGGAACATCTTGGGTGAGTGGAGCTTCTCCATCTCTCATTTGCATTAAATATTGTTGAGTTGAGTCTCCATTTTTATTTACCACTCCATCACCGATTTCATCATGGGGTGAATGAGGGATGAGCAGTAGTTTTACCTTGCGATGACTCACTGGAGTGAGCCCCAGGGAAGAACGTACCAGCTGCTTCATAAATCATTGTATAAAGATAAAAATGCTGGCTACTTTGTTTGCACCAGGATTTTATATTGATGTGCCTGTCTCTCATTATGCTCTTTGTTATGAACCCTCTCTGCCAGTGCTGACATGTTCATTGGAAGCTGTAGGTTTCAGACCTCTTAGGATTTCACTTGAAGGTTTTTCACTGGTAGCAAAGCGTGAATTTCTTTTAAACGGCAGAATGTCTCAGCTTTTACAAGAAAAAGTAATGAAAGAAATGAATTGTGATGTGCTGGGGAGTACGTCATGCAGATATTTTAATCCTTCTTCATGCTGGCAGCATATTAGCATATGGAAGCAAGGAGGGCTCTCTCGCCTTACCGCTACCTCCAGCTGGAAAAAGCAACGCCTTTTCTCCAAAAGATCTCGGTCCTTTCTATACCATGCGAGCGAGACCTCTGGTGACAGCAGGACCCTTGTCGCCATCCCATATGTTATAATATGCTCTATTTTTAGCAACTATTATGTGAGTGCCTTGACGTCACTCCGGCGTGAATTAGCTCTGCTCTGCCAACCTCCTCGCTCGCTGCTCCCGAAGGGGTGGGCGGTGGGGTAGTTGGGGGCTGCCGAGCCAATGCTGAGCTGCAATTAGGTGACTCTGCACAGGGTCTCCATCCTCTTTCCACGTGACAACCGGGTAGCCAAATTAGAAGAATTTGACTTACAGATTTAGCTCTGTTACAACAATAGCACGAAAGGGCTCGTGCAGCTGTCACAGTAACCAGAACCTTTCAGCGTCTTTGGATATGCTAAATGAGAATTTGTCAGTCTCCTCAGGTTTTTGCAGTGTTAGGTTGGGTGGCTGCCGCGAGCGCCTCGTGTGCGCTGTGTGACACGCAAGAGCCATCTGAAGAGAGGAGAAACCCTCTCTCTCGTCGTTCTCCAGACAGTGCTCCCTTCAGTAGAGGGTTGTTCTGTAACAAGTTCAGCCAAGAAGATTCAGGCTGGATCAATGCTAAATTATATCTGGAAAAAAAAAGGCAAAAAGCCATAACGTGTTTATATTTATCACAGGGAACTCTGGAGGGGAAAATGAAAGGGAGCAGGTGGGTGTGAGAAGAGGAGGGCAAACAGGAATCAAAAGGACCATTGGGTTTTCTCCTCGCTCCGTCAGGACAGCCGCTCTGACAGCTCCCTATGAAGTAGTTGGATAGCATGTTGTTTAAATCATTCAAGTTTAAAGTTTAAATAGATCTCTAATCCAATTTGTGTGGAAGCAATTTCCTTCCAGAAAACAGATTATTTCTATCCAGGCTGCTCTGCTCAGCTACCCACCCAAAAGTTAGCGAAGCAGAGGCATGGTTTGTGTGCTGATTAGAGGCACAAAGAAAGCTTCCAATCAGCCTGCTTCCTTCCTAATTGCAAACTTTAAAACCCAGCTGATTTTGCACGTCCTACTAACAATTATAAATAGCTGCCATTCAAAATAGCACAGGAGTGATACAAACAGCTTGCTTTAATGTAGCATCTTGCTGGCAGGTTCTAACAACAGTAAACAAACAGGATCTGTAGAGCGGTACACTGACATCACACCAGCATCATCGGGGTTTTGTGTTTTTAATATTGCAGCAGTGAATTTTCATAGAGAACACACGACTCTTCCTCCAGCAAAGATCATGTTGGGAACTCTCAGTCTTGTCGATGTCGCGTATCACATAAGGCTTTTTTGTTTTCTCCAGCAAGTCCCTCACGCCATAGTATCTCCGAGTGGAGGATGCAGAGCATTGCCAGAGATTCGGATGACAGCTCAGATGATGAATTCTTTGATGCACATGGTACGTGGAGCCTAAATCGCTATCGTTTGTTTCCTGAAATGGTGGGGTAAGAGAACGGAAGGCATGAGGGTGGGGGGTGAGTGGGGAAGGAAGCGAGACTTTTTGCTTTGTTTGAAGTCTGTTCCTTTCTAACCAAGATACGTGCAGCATCAGCGCAGCTTCTTCGAGCATCCCCAGCATCACCCAGCAGACTCTTATATTTAATGTAGCAACATTTTAGATTCTGTGTGATCTATATGAAGGGATCTTGCACAGTCATAACCTTTGGAGCTGTATTTTATTTGGTGAAAATGAGTGTGGGTAAAATTCAGCAATACTAACTGGACTGTGGGTGTGTCCTAATGATTCCGATTCAGTGTGACTGAATATTTTTCTAATTTATTTTTTAATCAGTAGGAGATATGATTAATTGTCCTGTCTGGGCCTGAAGAGACACAAATTTGCCTTTATTAACTCCTTGTTCTCCTATTTCAAGAAATACAATAGTGAATGCAACAAGGTGCTTCAGGTGCCAAAATTAATCAGTGCTGATTCCTGAATTCTCAAAGTAATTTTGACTATCCGTATTAGAGTAAGCTGTGGTATTTTATTTCCCTGTGCATGTATCTGTGAAGAGGCTTTGTTCCACTGCATTCATTTTATATATTGTACTTAATGCGTATTTAAGCCTGAAAGGCTCCATCTCTACTGACAACAGATGGACTCTTCTCTCGGCTTGTAATGCTAATCTAAGTTAGATGCGCAATGTGTGCTGATGAAGTTGGTGACCTTTCTGTGAAATGCAGTTGTTCAAAGATGACGCCCCAGTTTTGTAAAGCAGAATTTCCCTGATGTTCAGCTAAAGTTCAGTCTCCAAAAATTGATGGTATCGTGTTCCAGAAGAGTTCTCACATCGTGTATTCAGGCATCCATCTCAGATTCTGGGGTAAAAAAGCAGCATGCTGTTGTAGAGGAGTGACTTGCACAATAAGGCAGCTTAAGTAGCCAGGATGCGTGCAAGTCAAGGGATGAATGTGTCTCTTGCCTGGAAGGAGAAGGACCAATTTGGTTTAAGTGTCCCTATTTATTAACTTATGTAGCATCTACAAAAACTATTCAAGGGATTTATTGTAGCAATATGCATACAAGAAAAAGAGGAGTGAGTCATCGAAACGGCATCATTGCTATCCACCCTCTTTTTTGCCTTTTTAATTACTCAGTAATAAAATTGAGATCAGACAGCTCTGCCTGGGATCCTGGCCCCCAGGGAATCCCTGACATGTTCCTAACAGGCCTGGGAAGGGGAATTAACAAAAATGAGCCTTGTGCCACAGTTGCAATCGGCACCACTGTTGCCATACCTTGAGGAGCTCACTAACAGAAAAAGCAGCTCCTTTTGTGTTAGCACACAGCGTGTCTCCTTTTACGTACAGATTGTCCCTCCCCAGTCCCCACAGTTGGGTTTGAAAAGTCTGCCTTGTCTGATGGGATTCTGGTTAATGAGTTGAAGCCTTGATGTGTGCTGATCAACTCAGCCCTGAGGAACCTCTTGTTGCCCCTTGGCCCGCAGATGACACGTCCCAGCTCCGGGTCCGTGAGCCGGGATGAAGCACCCACTTGCAGCTCATCCTGCCAGGGAGGGGAGGCTGGTGGGGTCGGTACCATGGGAACTGGCACAGAGCAGGATGTGAGTCAACACCAAGCAGAGTTCCTCACAAGTGCTTCCCATACATACACACACGCATTTCCTCGCAGCTCAGTGGGCGTAACCAGAGCCAGAGAAGATTTCTCCTCGCTGGCTTCCCACTCATCCTCATTCACTGGTAAAGATAGTGACAAATACAGTAATATCTAATATCTATCCTGTAATGAATGCTAATAACGGGAGTAATATCCCATGCAGTGATTACTTGAGCAGCAAGAAGGGCTGTAATTAAACCTCTCAAGGAAATAAGTTTAATATTTAGATTAAGTTGCTGGAGGAGCTTTGAGTACAATCGTCCTCCTAATTCTCCACCAGCATGTGGTGCCTGCTTGTGCTTTCCACTTGCTCTGAACAGGTAGCTCTGCCCTCCCTTGTGCAGGGAAATGGGGATTTACTCAGATTCTTTCCACAGCTGAAAAAGGAAATGGCATGCTGATGCGAAGTTTCCAGGTCACTCTCTTTTTATGGTCAAAGTGTAAATAGAAAACTCCTAAAAATAATTGGAGTCTTTGCCTGGCTCTGCACTTAGTCCCCTTCATGTATTTTTTTTAAGATATTGCTCAGATTTGCTGAAAAGATCAGTATATTTCATAATCTTTTTATTCCCCATCCTAGGATTCTTCCAACTAATTATTTTCTTGGTAACTGTATAGCAAGAAGAAAGGAGGAATCCTAGTCTGGGACTCTGAAGATTTACAGCTTTTAGATTTTCAAGACATCTGTAATTGCTGCTGTTATTATTATGGTTATAACTCTTTATTAAATTTACAAGCCCAGAATTTTCAGGAAAGAAGTACTCGGCACAGAACAATAAATAAATTAGAAAGCACTTAACCTCTGTAACAGTAAAAGATACATCCTCAATGTGAAAAAATAAAAGAGAAATGAAGGGGGCAAAAAAAAAGGAGCCAGCAACCCATACCAAAAGCATCTTTGGAAGATTTTTGGTTTCCTGGGTGTCCAGGCAGGAGCTCCAGGGCTCTGTTTCCATCCAAAGAACCTGCCAGGATGAAGCATGAAGCGTGGGAGCTGCAGGGTGCCCTTCACAGCTCGTGCTGGGTCCAAGTTCTTGTCCAGTAAAGGAGCCACCAGGCTGCTGCTGTCTTAGAGGACCTCTGGTTTGATACAAGCATTTTTGGGAGCCCTTTCTCAGATCCAGACTGGCCTCCCTGTGTTCAGGCTTGGGCTGAGAGCGAGCTCAGCCTCCCACGGGGGAAGTCCACGCGTGTTGGATAACCTCACCCAGCCCAGCAGGCACGGGGGGTGTCTGGTGGGGAATCTGGGGTAAATTCATCTGGTGCTACGGCTGCTGATGGCTGCTCAAAGGAATTGAGCGAGGGGATGCAGAAGATCCTGAGGTAGGAGGGAAATGGCAGACACATGTGCTCAGTGTGATCAAACAAGTCTCATCTCCTAAGGAAATCAGGCTAAAGATATCCCAGGGAGTTCACGTTTCCTTTATTACTCATGCCTTTTTAGGTGTTCAGTCCCATTAACAATAGCAATCCTTGTCGCTGCTTCCCCCAAAGACCTCCAGCAGCTTTCAGACAGGTCTGGGAGGATCCTAGTAGCAAATGTTATTTTGTCTTCTCTCCTGGACTGGAACATACTGGCTGCTTTAGCATCATCAAAAAGCATGGCAAGACGGACATCAAACTTGGTACCTGAAACGGTGGCATTAAAAATCTGTGTTATTTTTTCCATGCCTTTAGGTGTTTTGTTTGTTGAAAACATGCAACTACAACATTTTTTTTTAACTTTGATTTCTATGTAACAAAAGCTGGTAAAGTATAATGTTTTATTATGGTTTAAGCCGTTCAAATGTTTATGAGATTACGTAGAGTTATGGGGGCCTTTGTTTTATTTAAAATTCCGTTCTGTGCTCTTGTTTGTATACATATTTGTGTGTGTGACTTTCAAAAAATCTGTTTTTTAAAGAGGACTTGTCTGACAATGAGGAAATGTTCCCGAAAGAAATAACCAAATGGAGTTCCAATGATCTGATGGATAAAATTGAAACCCCTGAATGTGATGATGTCCAGGGTAAGTGTATTTTTTTTAAGAAAAAACTGCATGTGATATTTTACAGTATTTCCAGGTAATTGTTACAGCTACAGTCTGAAAAAGGTAAAACTTGTTATCTTCATCTCACAAAAGGAGAAGCTGAGACAGAGCATAAAGATGACTGGCCAGTACTGCTAAAAAAGAATTGCCTAGTGGGAGATGGGGTAGCTCTTGATTCTCTTTTATTTTCCGCATTGGGTAGGCTCCTCTGTGCAACAGCCAGGATTCTTTAATATAATGATGAAATATTCCAGCTCTGTCTTGAATTACTTGAATTTCTCCTGGCTCTTCTTTCCTCTTGCTCCATCCTTTGATCTTGTCTATATCTGCCTTGGTTTTATTTTCTGCTCATCGTTATGAAATTTTGAAAGGAAGCTGGCTCCTCAGCCAGATCAATTCATGTAGCAGCACAGTGGAAGATGACACTTAGGCTTTCTGGTACAAAGTCGGTCTGTGTAAGCACAGACATATGAACACATCAAATCTCTGCTACCCCAGCACAGTTCAAGCAATTCCTATTCTTGTCCCACAAACCGATCATTTCTGAGAATTGCGCGGGGATTTCCCATTGTTGCCATGCTTAATGAAGCAGGGATGCTGGGTCCTTGTAATGAGAGAAGAGCTCGATAATGTCCTCAGCGCTTCCCAAGCTTATGAGAAACTGCTGGAAAATAAGTTCTCAGGTGGGAAGAGGTGGGAGGGAGGGAGAAAGCAATTTGATGAAATAATTAATGAAATAATAATGGGGGGCATTGGCACAAACACTGTCTTTATGGAAGAGTGTCTGCCAAACAGCATCTTGCAGTGCTGATGTTTTAAACCTCTGTGCTTCCAGGTGACTTGTATCACGAGACATCAGCAGAGTACCACGTTGGCTCCAGTGTGGAGAGGCTCAGCATCATTGAAGTAAGTGCTTCAGTTTCTTGTAAAGGGATCCTTTGTTGCTGGGAGGTGTCCGTGTGTGGTAAATGGGGTAAACCCTTTGCTGCGAGCGGTGTATTGTCTTGTGTGTGGTTCAGAGCCACACCGACATGCTGTGTGCTTCAGGGTCAGGTTTAAGGGATTATTTCACCCGTCTTTAGAACATCATATGGAAAACGCTCTGTAGTTTGCAGGCAGTGTCAGGTATCCAGCTGGAAAAAATACTAATCCTGTGGGGATAACTGCTGCCTGAGGCGGTGCTGTGCAGAGCTCTCCTGCTAATGCTGAATGAGCTGGCATGGACGTGGGACACAGGGACACAGCTCAGCTCTGGCCCACTCTTCAGAGCTGCTGAGGGTCCTGTTTGGAAACCAGTTACAGCACAGTCTGTGTCAGCACTCTGGATAAAATAATAAATAAATAATGCCTACCTATCCCAGCTTTTTAGACTTGGGCATACAGGCTTTTGCAACGTGGTGTCCCCGTGATACACGGCGTTTTGGAGTGGCTGTAGTCATCCTGCCCTTAAAGCATCTGCCTGGCTGTTCTGCAGAGATGGTGTAGCTGCTTGCAGAGTGCCTGAGTTACATCGTGGTCTGTCAAAGACTGTGAGCGTGGTTTTAGTATTACTCTGTGTGCCAGGCTGTAAGTTCATAGTGGTTTGGCTTTTTCATAATAGACTGAGAGCTCAAAGGCCATGGGGAGAGTGTGTGGCTGGGGATGGGAACAGCTCTCGCCATTTCAAGATAAGCAAGTCACAGCCCTAAGACTTCTCTTAGAGCTCAAGGTGGTATGGAGAACTTATTGTCGTCTTCAGAGGGCTGTACAGACTCAACTCCCCCATGTTTCTGCCTTCATTTTAGTAGAACAAACTTCAAAGAGAGATGAAAAAGACAGTTATTTGTACTTGTTCACAATTAGCCTACTACAATAGCGTGAAATTCCTAGCCACCATTGCAGGGATTTTCCCCTTAAGAGCACCCATCACCAAAAGGTAGTTCAAGAGTCAGGCATCTTAAGAGACTCCGGATCTTACAAGAAAGTTCTAAATAGCCACCTCCACCCCTAAACTAATCAGCAGTTGCTTGCATGTTCCCCACTTCCTTCAAAAGCAGAGGTTAATGAACTGAAAGGGAAAGGCGCCTCCACATGACTGCTGATAAACCTCTGGATGACCTGAGCTTGGTGACTCATGTTGTTCTCCAAATGAGCACTTAAAACATTTGTCTGAAAGCAAAAGTAGTGCTGAGATACTGAGAGAGCTCCTCCCGTGCCTCCAGCCAGGCAAAAGTTCACCTTGCAGGGGCTGTAAACTGGAATCAGAAAAGGTTTAAAGAGCAGGCATTAATACAGTGTAATGGTACTAAATAATTAAAGGCCATTCTTATGCAGGAGGTCTGGAAAATCTTTATTACAGACTTGGATGTGAATTTTAATACTTCTGGTGGGCTGTGTATTAAGACATGCTTTAACATTATCTGGTAAAAATGTAAGCTAGTTGTTAGGTTGCTAATGTGTGCCTGGGCATGCTTCCCTCCCACCAGCAGGCTTGTCAGGGGCTCAATCACTGCTCAAAGGACAACAGGTGACTAAAGATGCTAAAATGAGAAAAATTTGCCAAATGGAAAAATACTGCTGCCCTCCACCCCTTCCACACCCGCTCTGGCTCCACAGGGAATTGCTCAGGATGTTCTGCTCGCACAAGGGATAAGGCACAGGAGGAAAGATCAGCGCCTGCTTTCATGTATCTCAAAGGTGTGGGGTGGGGGATTTGAGTCCACGTGGGAGCTGTAAGCAATGAAAGCCCTGGTAATGAATAGATATTAAAAATAGTTACTGCTCCATTGTTTATTATATGTGACCAGTAAAAGTGGATGCTCTTGTACCTTCTCCTGGGGCATCAGGATTGGGCTCACAGCCATCCTGTTAATGATAGCCCACTCTGGAGTTCAGATATAATTCTTTCCTTCCCCCAAACTACAGCCTGTTTAGGCAAGGAAATGCTTCAACATAATACACGCATGACCTGGCAGCCAAAGTAAAAAGCTTTACTGTGTTCGTGCAGCAGTCTGCGAGCCAGATGTTGGCCAGTCCTTGGGTCATAAGGTCTTGAAGTTTTTTTCTCTTCAGTTCCTCTTTTGCAACACTATAAGCAAATCTAGAGTCTTATTTATAACTTCTGTGGTAGGCAAGCAGGCACAATGACTGATTTCTTCCCACAACTTCTTTACCCAGTAACTTGCCACTTGCTGACCTGTTTGCCCTTGTTCTTTTAATTTTGCTGAATGTGTTTTAGTGTCAACTGCTGCAGCTGAGCTCAGCACCCCAACAGAAAGCAACACCCATCTTTTATTTCTTTATTTTTCCACCCTAATGCACACAAGTAATGTCTTTACTGCTGCCACATTTTGCCTGGTTACAATTTTATGCAATTTTTTTCTTTTTTTTACTTTCAGCATTCCTTCTGCTGAGGGCACTTATGCTGAGGCTGTGTGTGTGCATTTGTGCACGCACGTGTGCAGGATGAGAGATGTGGAAGTTTAGACTCTTGCACCTGCACTGTCATTTGATTTAAGTGCCTCTCTTCCTTCCCTACCTTTCTTTACTCATCTGCACTGCATTTGAGAGCAGGCATTTCATTCTCTAGCTTTCATTAGCTTTGCAAAACAAATCAAGCTGAACTCTTTCAGTCTCTGTCCTTCTGTGGTCCTTCTCACACGGCTCTTGTCTTTGTGTGGAGATGGCCCAAACTGGACTCAGCCTGCTAGATCGGGGGTGCCAAGGCCCTGTATCATGGCTAATACTGTTTCTGCTGGAAATACCTTGCTTCACAGGTTGCTGTTTGCCTCATACATGACTGGACTTGATGTGGATAGTGTGTTTATTGTACACACCGTATGTGAGCTTGGGAGAGAAAAAATTCCAAAATGTGCAAAAAATGCACTTGGACCAAATATAATCTCTTTGCAAAATAAGCCTTTGTACTGTGCTCTCTTTCGTTCCCACCTAGGATGAATCAGTGCAGCCATTAATGCAGCCAAGCAAAATCCATGTTCTCCTCTTGGTACTTCACGGAGGGAACATCCTGGACTCGGGAAGTGGTGATCAGAGCTCTAAGCAAGGGGATGTCAACACCATCACGACAGTGTTTGACACAGTGATGAGGGTACATTACCCAGCTGCTCTTGGGCGCATTGCCATCAGGCTAGTCCCTTGCCCAGCCATCTGCTCTGAAGCATTTTCACTGGTGTCCAGGTAAGTTGATGCTACTTTGTCATGGAGAGAAACATACAGAATTTCACTCTTTTGTTTGTTTGTTTCTTTCTTTCTTTTCTTGCATCCCTGAAATGTTCTGTGTGTTGTATTGAAAGCTCTGACCACGCTTTGAGAATGCACTTATTAATATACTAGCAAGGCATTCAATCTCGATTTCATACTTAGCTGCAGTGAATACAGTAATCATGCAGTAAGAGTTCTGAGATTGATTTATTCTAATTAATCCAATAAATACTAAGGCTTTAATTCCTTGTCTGAGAGTTGTTCTATCAATGTAACTATGTTGTCCTTGAAGATTTACGTTTGATGGGAGGGAAAGATTTATTAAGCTCTCACCCATTCACCATGGAATAAATAGCCTTTCTATCTTGAGGCTTTTTTTTTTAATGAGCCACAATACTGACTGTACTGTCTGCAAATGGTTTTCCCTGCACTGCATGTTAGGCTGAATATTTCCAATGTCTCTTTCCCTATGTAGCCTCAGCCCATATAGTTATGATGAAGGCTGCCTGTCCAACAGCCAGGACCACATTCCCCTTGCTGCACTCCCTCTGCTAGCGACATCGTCCCCACAGTACCAAGAAGCAGTAGCCACAGTCATCGTCAGAGCCAACCAGGCCTACAGCGAGTTCATCAGATCCCAGGAGGGCATGTCATTCAATGGCCAGGTGAGCCAGAGGCTGTTTATAGCCACAATGAAAGGAAGAGCAAGTGAAGCAATTTCCTTCTGAAGCTCTCTTTTCCATTAATCTCTCAGGAGGGATGGAAACATGACAGTGTTGAGCTGCAATAAGAAAGTGTTGTGCTTCCATTTCTTTCTTTCTGAGAGAGAGAGATTATTGCTTATGTTCTGGCTTGAACCTTTGGGATTCAAAGCAAAGACTGAGCTTGTGTTCAGAAATGAAGCTACAAAGCTGTGAAGTTAATCAATTTTCAGCATGACACACCTTTCCAAATCAGGAATGCTACTTTTGTTACTGAGCACCATCTCTGCACCCCTTGCAAACCAAGGCTGTTTAGGCATTCCCATCTTTAAAGGACCTTCAGCAGCTCGTGCTGGAGCTGTCGCAGAAGTGGGTTTCTTTTTTGAGGTGACGCAGCTGCTGCACCCCATAAAAGACCATGACTGAGCCTCCGTGAGCAAAGTGACTCTCGCCCCACGAGGTTTGAGCTATTGGAGTGGCTGTCACATTGCACTGATGTAGAGTGATTTATCCACCCTGAGCTTGTTCCCAGCCAGCGCTGTGACTGGGCACCCAGACAGCCCTCTCCTACCCAGGGCTCTCAGTCCTTTATCGTGCCTGTCTGCTCAATACCCTTGAAGGCAGGACAGCGTTATCTCCTCAGGGGACAGAAGCACAGGGAAGTTTGCCTGAAGTAGCATGGACAGCTGGCGAGGAGGCAATCAAGCTTGGTTTTCTGAGGCTGGAGTTAGCGCTGTGATCAGTGCTGTGTGTTGCTTTCACTCCTGTCGGCTGGTGGGGACAGAACCCCTGAGCTGTGTTAGCTAATGAGAGTCTGCAGGGTATGAGTGGATGTTCATTGACAGAATAGCTTTACTGATGAAAGTGCTGGGCATCCTGTTACTGCAGCTTTCCTAGGTATAATCCAGCACTCTGTGTCATCCCTCAATTAAAGTCAAGGGACTTTTTTTTTTTTCCTCCTTCCCCGCTTCTGTTGCCTTTCCAGGTCTGCTTGGTAGGGGACTGTGTTGGAGGAATCCTGGGATTTGATGCCTTATGCTACAGCAATCAGACTGTGTCCGAGAGCCAGAACAGCAGTCGGCGAGGAAGCGTTGTGAGTGTCCAGGTAATGCTGGTTCCCAGCATCTACTGGGAATAGGTCTGCTGGCCACAGCACCTCCATGATGGCCCTCCATGGCCCCTGCTTCTAGTAAGGATCTTTTCATGAAACACCAAAGACTCTTTTCCTTACCAATGGCAAACATGTGCCTTAAGGTGTATATGAGTCTCAATTTGGGTGCGTTTGCTCTGAACGGGGGATGCCTTACCCTCTGGTGTGAAGCATCACCACACCCTTGGGAAATGGTTTGGTCTGAGGTACTGTGTTGCCTTCAACTGGGTTTTGGGGTAGATGGGGAAAGGAGGGTGAGAGGAGACAGTTATAATGTGGGTGTATTTTTGATTCAGCTGTTAGAGTGCTAAATCTGTACATTTCAAATCCTAGGATACGGACCTTCTGTCTCCTGGAATAACGGTGAACAACAGCTATTGTTCCAGTGGCTCTAATCTGGAAGCCAGCAGACACCTCAGCAGGAGCAACATTGATATTCCCCGTAGCAACGGAGAAGATCCAAAGAAGCAGCTGCCACGAAAAAGGAGTGATTCATCAACCTATGAACTGGACACGATAAAGCAGCATCAAGCCTTTCTTTCAAGGTAAGATTTTGAAGGAACAGAACCAGCAATATTCTGGAGCTGAGGCTGGTGCATCTGTGGAACCCAAATGTTGCTTTGTCATCCTGTGATAAGCAAGGTGGAGGAAAGTGTTTAATTTAGATTAGAGGGGTATAGATTTCAGTGTGCTGTATATGAAAAAAACCCAAAAGCTAACCACACTCTTCCTGAGTGGCAGCCAGAGAATCCAGCTGCTCTACTGCATCTGTATCACAATGAAGGAGCCCTTCATCCCGTTGCCTGACAGCCAAGGCAATCAGGTAACTGCTTTTTTGCTGTGCTGCAAGCTCAGGATGGAGCTCATAAAGCAAATGTAGAAATTGTGTGAGAGAAGACGGTGAAGCAGAACTGGGGATCCAGTGTTGCATTAGTTTCAAAGCATCTCTGAAAGTTCATTTTTGAATTGGGTGGCCTGTTCTTGGATAAGGTGGGGGTGAGCCAAGTGTCCTTTAGTTTTGGCCTAGTTGAAGTGTGAAAGTCAATTGTGGTCCCTTTCCTGTCTCAGGAGCAGGTTTCTGCTGTCGTGTGTGAAAGTCAATTGTGGTCCCTTTCCTGTCACAGGAGCAGGTTTCTGCTGTCGTGGTGGGATGCTCTGGATGAGACATCCTGAGCCCTAGCTGGTTGGCTGGTTCATGGGGCAACCTTCAACTGCATGTGAGGATTGTTGTGTCTGTGTGACTATTTGGCAAAGGAGCCCGTCCCCTGTACGGAGCAGGGACAGGGGATTGTATTCTGTCCCCTGCCAGAGCTGCTCCATTGCACCAAGGTCATGTTTCAAATTTGTTACTCGCTATCGAAGACCCCAGTATCACATTCCTGAGCTGCTTCAAATGGACTTTGAGGAACGTATCCGTTAACATAAATGATGAAATTTTCATAGCAGTCTTTCCATTGCCGCTGATCGTTCATTGATTACTTCAGAAAGCCCGGAGGCTTTTTCTGACTGAAAGATCTTCAGCCTGCGGAACTGGGAAGCCCAAATGTCTTCCTCCTTCCAGAGGAGCTGCAACATCCTCTTAATCCCTCTTCCCCCATGTCCCAGGTATGGGGGAGCAATGTTGCCTCCACAGCAAACACCATTATTTGCAGTGCATCTGTGCTCAAGGCTGTTCCTTTTGCCCTGTGCCAAGTTGAAGGGTTGTCCTGCACTTCTGCCCCTCTTTCTCTACTTCCAGTCATTGCTCTAGCACAGGGACCCGACCTGCCATGTCAGGGCTCCTTTTATAAAAGATTTGTAGGAGAAGGTATCGAAGTGAATGTCGTTGCTGCCCAGAGATACTATATTCAGAAAGACAACTGCATTTACAAAAACCACAACAAGCTTCTCAGTTATTTCCAGCAGGTTAATAAAAGGCAATCAGTCTCTTGTTCATACCTTATCAAAACAGCCTCCTGTATTACAGGAGAAAATACTAGTCGTGCAAAAACATGCTCTTTCTCCTCCTTGTTCTTGACCTCAGGGGCATGGACTGAGCTAAGGAAAGGGGGCTGCAGTCTCGCTGCAGTTTGACATCTAGTTCAGAATAAGCTCTGGACCTGAGGTGGATAATGGATTGCAGAGTTTGTTTTTTCAGATAGCTTTGTCCTGGTCCTTCCTGCTCCATCTCTGAAGGATTGTGCCTGCTCCAAACATGAAGCACTTGGAGGTCCCTGGCAAGGGCTGTCAGTGTTTGGTGCGCTGGTGGATTGGTGCATCTTTACTTCTTTTAGAGTTTTATATCTTTTTTATTCTACCTTTAGACGTCGTGTCAAAAATTAGTCTCTTCCCACAGCTCAAGAGGAAGATTCCTTCAGGGAAAGGGGCAGGTTGGAGCTTCTGTATGAGCACTTCTCCCTCTCAGCTCCACGGTGCATGGGAGGCTGGGGTGCAGTGATTCACCTCTTCCCCTCCTGCGTGAGGGCAGGGTGTCACACCCGGACACGTCCCCTGGACCTTGTGCTTACAGCCATCATTACCCAGCAGCGCAGTCATCAGCAGAACGCCCCTTCGGCCTCTCTGTCACTGAGTAATGATTTTCCCATACGAAAACCAAGCCCTGATGTGACGCAGCTTCGTGCAGGAGACTGGCAGAACAGAGCCAAGTTTTCCTAATGGGCACAGCAGACAGGCAACCTGGCATACAGGGGCCTTTCTCTCCGATTGCAGATTTCAGCTTGTGCCAAAGACACTCATTTTTATTCATGTATCAGACCTACCCGCTTCTCTGGGATAATGCCCAGCAAGCCAGAGCAGCATCTGGAGATTACAATCACACATTTATTTTTAAATTCAGTCCTTCTGCACAACTACATTATTTCTGGCTGTGCTGTACTTGTATTATTGTAAATGAGTTGATTTGCTTCTGAAATCCATAAGCTCTTGTTTAATTAATGCACACAGTACATCTGCTGCTTTTTAAAGGGAGAACAGGGCACTGTAGGTTGCTTGGAGCATGACGGATTCAGAGTTCCCCTTGGCTCTCATTTCTTTGATTGCTAAAAAGACTATGAAGTTCCCAGTGAAAGGAGAGAAGCTGTCCAAATTGTTTAGTGGTACGAGTGCTCTCATTCTCTTCCATTCCCCACGAAGAGATGCTGTGGGAAGTGGGTGGAAGACACCAAAAACCCCTTGCAACCATCCTGCCATAACACATCTGCAATCAGGATAGTCTTTCCTTTTGTGCCTTCCTTGGAATCGTGATGGTGTTGTCCTGGGTTTGGCAAAACTGAATGTGTTCTGAATAACTTCGTATTCCTCACACACAGCACACTTAATGCATTGCAGTCTTGTCAGCTAAGATAATTGTAGCTTCACTGAAGGTGGCTTGTTTCTGAATGTGTTTCAACGTTGCACGACTTGGCAGCGTGATCTCAAGGAAGATCGTTCACCTCACAGAAATGGGAACACGCTCATTTTATCTGTCACTGCTGTAACCTCCCGTTCCGCTCACTTTTGACATCACTGTTTTGACTTTCCGTGATATGTATGTCTGGCATAAGTAGGGTTGTTATTTCTCTGCAGTTGGTAACTGGGAGAATAGTACCGTGCGTGTCTGCACCTTTAGAGACTAGATGACAGTGCAGCATGAGAAGAAGCTGTTTTAGCATCCGTTGGGAGCAGCAGAAGTGCTGTCTCTGCAGTAATGCATTATTTGCAAAAGCAGGAAAACAAAGTCTGAGGAAAACCCGTTTTTTTTTTTTTTTTTTCAAATGTGTGAGTATTTGCAGCTGCTCTTTAATTGAATGGGTGTCCCAGAGGAGGAGTGTGTGTGAGCAACTGCTCTGGTGCTACAGATGGTGGGGAGCAAGCAGCCCTGTTTCCATGAGCAGCGCTGGGACATCACTGTCCAACTATTGCATACAGAGACATGGCAAGTGCTGGTGGCCACCTGGGATTTTGACTGAGGGCCACAGAGCTGGCAAGAGACTGTTGCATTCACATCATTCCTGACTCCAGGCCAGTAAACCTTCATATCCAACCCCTCTGCTGCATCCTTTTATCCTACATATTTTATAGAACCTGTTCAGATGCTTTTTAAAGTGTTTGTAAACACCCTGTTAAGTCACTGCTGGTATTCCATCTTCAACTCTCTGCTTCTAATTATAACGATGATAACCCAGCAAGGCTGCTGTCTGAATCTGTGGAACCTGGAGAGCAGAAGAAATTGCAGCTTAATGCTTTTTGGGTGGTAACAGAAGAATCTCAGAAACCCTTTTGTGAACCAGGTTATTAGTGTTACCCACCTGTCGTTTCGCTGTCTAATCCCAGATGTAGACTGCAAAGAAGCACCTCTTCTTAACGTGGGGGTGGATTCCCAGGATTTTCATCTAGAGTTCCTGCTGCTTCTTCCTTGGTATCTAAGTGATACGTGAATCTAAATCTCTGAGTCAAGCCTGTGTATTGCCCAGCCTGCACTGCACACAGGGTGAATTTTACAGAAGAGATTTGACACTTGAAAGAAGAAGGGAAAGCCAGACGTGATTTGTATCATTACTCTTCTCAAGTACAGTTACCTGGAGTTGTTGGGCTGGAATTGAGGAGTTTGGTAATAACTCGACAGGTGTGGCCTCATGGGCAGAAGACAAGTCCTGGGTACATGATAAATACAATTTGCCCTGTAGTCACTGAGTTAATTACCCCAAATTCCCATTCTCAGTGAATGCCCTACACATGCATGGAAGCTGTGGTGCAGCTCGGTGCACTAGAATACTAGAAACCCTCTTGCAGATTTTGATATATCTTTTTGTCTCTCCTCTCCTGTTTTCTTTTTTCCTTTTCAATCCTATAACATTTGTCCAACTATTTCCACGAGGAAGAAATGGGTAAGCACGGCTTTCCGTAACATTTGAGAATGGGTGATGGAAGGAACTCAAATGTTGACAACCAGAAAGCATAGCAGTAATGTGTGTAATGGAGTGAATCACTGCAAACCTGCTTTTTTCCCTGCTACTCTAGTAATTTTGGCTTGCTGGTTATTTCATCTTGCAAATAACTATCCTGCTAGCATCCACCAAGATTTTGACTCCTCAAAGAAAGCAATTTTGAGGAGATAGGAGTGTGTAAATGAACCCACTTGAAGCTTAGGTTTGTACGGTCTAAATTATGCCACTGTAATGGGGTAATTGGGGGGACGTTTTACTGACCAGTAGAACTACAGTACTGAGGCATGGTGGGTTGATTGGCACAGTCCCTTCACTAAAGAGGTAGAAATTATATTCACTGTCAATCACTTATCTGGCCTTGAATTAAGAAGGAACAGCATAAAAAAAAAATTTCACTTTATTTTCTGTTCTTGTCCCAGTTTACATTCTAGTGTGCTGAAAAACGACCCAGGATCCAGGCGATCTAGTAGCTCTACTATGTTGGATGGAGGAAATATTGGAAAGTTTGAATTTGAGATCACTGACTTCTTCCTCTTTGGTTCTCCCTTGGGTCTGGTTCTCGCACTGCGAAAAACTGTCATTCCAGCTCTTGACAGTAAGTCCTAATGTAAACTGCTGAGCGCACGTAATAGATGGTGTAAGCACCTTCTGGTACAAATATAGTATTCTGATGAGACAAACTGGTAAAAACCAAACATCTATATATACTATTTATTGCATCATAAGGAAGCAGATCACTGTGTGCTCTAGCCAGTACTGATTATACAATTTATTTGCAATGTACTTCCAAACATTAAAAATACTGTGCGATTTTTGAGTCTATAAATATTGTGATAAATTGTTTCAACTGACTAGACTGGAAGATGAGTGAGATGATAAATCTTTAGTGCTTTTTTTTAACCCAACAGTTGTCCTTTTTACAGACAAATATTTACAAGAATCTCATAAAAAAACTTTTGATGCTTGAGGGTTTTTTTTTCTCCATCTTCTTAGTCTTTCAGCTCAGACCAGCTTGTCAGCAGGTCTATAACCTGTTCCACCCTGCAGACCCATCTGCTTCACGTCTCGAGCCTCTTCTGGAGAGGAAGTTTTATCTTTTGCCCCCCTTTAATATTCCCCGTTACCAGAGGTTTCCACTGGGTGATGGCAACTCTGCTGTTCTGGGTAAGTCACTTTGGATCCATATTAGCTGTCTGAAGGGTTATATCTACACTTACATTAAATTATCAAAGCAATTGGGAATGACAAGAAAGCGAATTGGCCCTATAATGTTAGCTTTATTCCAAATTTTCCAGAAAAGTAGTTTTCTTGTGACAAAATCAGTGCCTTGTGACCCATATGCCCTTTATTTGTCACACAAAGGCCATCAGCTGCTGAGAGTCATGATGTGGTGACCTCTCTGCAAAGGTCCCTGTTTTATACCCAAGCTGGTGCTTGTGGTTGAGACTGAATGAAACATGATTAACTCAGCAGAGTTTAGGACTTCAGTGTTTGGAGGGCCAGGGAAGATTGGAAGGAGCAGAGTCAACAGTGAGATAATGAGATGATTTACTTCATTGCAACATGTGCTTTTTCACAGGACAGGCTACTGCAGATTGGTGGGCTGGTGACAGTGCCTTGCCCTTGCCAATGAGACATTTTGTCTCAGCATACCTAGGATTCCTCTGCCATCAGTGGCCTCTTCACTTGCTCTACCCCAATTGCAGCAGTAACGAAGTCTGAAATGGCTGTGTGCATGCCCTTTTGTCTTATTGGGTTGCATTTGAAACAACTGTGTCCTGACCATGCCCTGCCTCAGCTCCCATTACATCGGTGCTCTTGCAGTTGATCTAATAAAATAAATTATATTTCCTACCATCTTCACCTCACTTCTGTCCCGAGACTCTCATGGTCTGTTGCCATTTCAGTGCAGGCTCTCATTGCAAGGAGCTCTCAGGGAAGCTCATCCCCTCGCTGTGCAGAACTAAATTTGACCTTTCTGCTTCACCTAAAGCTTTGGTTCCCTGGCAGGGTCAGGGCTTTGAGCCAGGAAGAACTGCTGCACCAGAATTTTTTCCCTTGTTAGAGGTTGTTAGTCGATAGCTACTTAAAGGCAACATTGCAACTGAGATTCACTACTATAAAGCTAGACCTCAGCACCCAGGAAATCATGCTGGCAAACCAGAGTAGAATATCAAAGCCACCAGCTAGAAAGATTGGGATTTGATTGTTGGGCTTTTTCCCAAAAGCTCTGGTAGCTTTTCATTTGTTTAATAATTGAATCATCCAGGACTAAATGAAGAGAAATATATATGTAGAGCTGAATAATTCAGGTGATACTCTGCATCACTTTTAAATTGAAAATGCAAAACAGCTGTCTACTATGTAGCAGTATCTTTAAAGATTGTATTGTAATTGCTGAATCTGGAGGTCTGATTTGTTAAATGGATATAAACTAAAACCCAAGTTTAATAAAGTGAATAAAATACTTTCTGCAGGCCCCACTCACTTGTCAAATTTAGAAAAGATCTTGCTGCAACACTTTTTAAAAATGGATCCACCCACAATTACATTTGTACCCGGTTCGGTTACAACAGCTCAGGGAATCTATAGCAACTTGAAAAGCAATTTGCTTTTTGGGTATATTCTAGGTATCAGCTACAAGTAGCTTCTTAAAAAAAAAATCCTAAACATCTTACCTTATTCCTCTTAAATACATTTTAAATCCCCTGTTCTCACTGAAGCCAGAGGTAGAAGTCCCATTGACACTGAGCAACCTGTGTTCTGGTTATCATTCCGTGCAGCAGCAGGGATCTTATTAGTTTGCTGTGTCTCCCTAGACCTTTGTTGAGTTGCCTGTGTGTAGAGAGACACTTGCGATGTAGTGGAGAGGAGTTAAACAGTCAATTAGCTCAACTATAAGAAGGGTAGAGTGATTTCAAAACCCTCTCCAGGTTTGAGTCTTGTTATTTTAAGAGGTGCTGTTCTGCTGTGATGAATTAAACTGACAAAAAGGCAGCTTTAAATTCTCTTCTCATGTAAAACAAAGCCTTTTCATTTGCTTATCATAAAATAACAGGCTATTCCTTTCCATTAGGGTCAAAATTTCAGTGTTGTGATTTACACATTACCCAGAAGGACTGTTCTAACCATGATTTGCAAAGTTGCTACTGAAGTTAGTGTTCACTGTAGGGCACTCCAGAAGAGTTAATTGCTGCTATAATTAAGCTATATGATTTGTGATCACGTAAAATTCAGGTGCTCAATTATAATTAGTTATGTACAAAACCTTCTGTAACGCTGCTTGTGCATATTTCCTCATGCAGATAGCAAGCTTATTTAAAGTCCATGATTCAGAAAGCCTCTTAAACTTTTTTTTTTCTTTTTCCCATCTGTAAATGTTGGGTCCCTGTTTCATTATAACCAACTTGCAGAGTGAAATCAAGCTCACATCCTTGCTTACTCCTGTGCGTTGCACTGTGTAGGCTCTGAGTCTGATTAAGTAAATCTCTCCTTAGAGCGTCCTTTTTTTCCACGAAGTAAAATGATTTCTCTGGATCTGCTGGGTATTTATGGATTTGGCTCATTGGAGAAGCTGGTTAAGAGGACTCCCTTTTCTTTTGTTGTTGAAATGCCATTGTTGTGCTCTCCTCTGCTACCAGTTAATCTCTCTGATGTGAGTCTATTTGGAAAGTCACCCATGTTTTGTTTCTTTTACTCTATTTGAAGGTTGTCCTTTCATTGAAGACTCATAGTTGAAGTACTCGGTTGTAACTGTTTGTATGTTAACACTTTGTGGCCACATGTCTGTTGTTCTTTGTCCTTCTGTTTTGTTTTTTTTTTTCCCCATCTGCTTCTAGTTGAGACAATCCAGAACAATCCCATCCTCCTCATGGAAAGTAGCCCTCTGGGTGCTCTCCAGCACCAGGACAGCTTCATGGAAACAAGTATCCCCGTTCCCGTACTGAATTGGCAAGATGTTTCCAATAAAAGTGCTGGTTTTGCTGAGTGTGTGTAATCTACACTTTCGTATTGTCTGTGGTGTTGGGTACTTGGGGTGCTTTTTGGAGATCATACTGTTGCCTCCTGGAGTTGAAATCTTCATGCTGTGTCTCAGGCTGTGCCACATGAAATAACCACTTGGGATTGTGCTTGGGTATACCCTGTCTGGGAGACCCACCGTGCAAAGAGTGAGTTGGAATTAACAAACTCTGTCCCGTTCCGGTGTTGATGCTGGAAAGGGAGACTGCTGCCACAGACTTGCATTTTTCCAGCTGTGGTGGCTGCGCTGCTGGGAAGAGAAGCCTCTTTGGCACAGCGAGACAGCCCCCTGGGTGGCCCTGCTCGTGTGGTATACCCCATGTGCAGGATTCCCTGGGAATGGGGAGGTTGTCAGCAGTGTGTGTCTCCCCAGCAGTCAGCTACACTGCACTGTGGCCAGAAGTCTAATTAATGTCAGAACAGATTTTTTCCATTTGAGTATTTTACGTTTGGACACTCCTTGTGGCTCTGCTGAATACAGTGAATGAGGCTTTCAGACCCCAAGGTGGCTATACACGTTGGCTTTTTAAAATTAATTTCTCGACTTCTGCCTTAAAAGCAAAGTTTGATGCGTTTGTTTTGCCTTATTTTCCATCATAAATGCTGCATGGCCTCGTTTATTCTGGTTGTGGCTGGTGCTACATCTGCGATTTTAATGAGTCTTGACTTTGTTTTAGCTTCTTCTTCCCCGTGTGTCTTACTTGCCCGTTCTCACCCCTTTTCAGTGTTTTTCATTGAGAGCTTGGTTCTGCTGCCTTGTTTTTAACAAGCTGGCCCTTGCTGTTTATGAGCAGTCCGGCACGTTATGTGGTCATACAGGATGGCAACATTGCTGAGTATTCCAGTCTCTCCCTTTGTCTTTTGAAGATGTAGATGATTTTTAGGTATGCAGTTGCCATGTTGCCTGTGCTGTGATGTTCTGTAACAAAGCAGAGGGAACGGATCTGGTACTATTAATTAATCGCTTTGGAGGTCACTGATGAAATGCCATTTAACTGTCATCTGATATTTCTTGCTGTCAGGACAGAGCTTTTAGAAGCTTCTCTGCTTTTTACCTTGTGTGTCAAGAGCACAATATGGCCAAGCAGTGCTTGGCTTGACTGTAGCAAGTGCTGAATCCCACTCAGTTCAGCCACTGGACTGCAGGAAATTTCCAGAACCATAAAAACTTACGGACAACAGAAATCTATGTTGCTCTTGATCTCAGGGTAGCGACTGCAGTGTGCCCAGTGCTGACCAGTGACTCCAGTGCAAGCAGGGTCTGGCCTGTGCTGAGCCGCTGGCTGGCTTTTCTTTTTATTTTTTTTTAATTATTATTTTTATTGAACTTTACATGGGTTTGATTGCTTTGAGTATTTCCCGCTTCAGTGCCACAGCTCAGCCTGCAAATAGCCCATATTGAAATCTGCCATTCAGATACCCCAAGGACTTAACTCAGTGCCAGCAGTACATTAGGAGAATGGCCCAGTGCCGCTCACTTAGTGGGAAACAATTAGTAAGAACATTGACAAACGAGTCCATAGATGAAAAGGCACAGCACTAAAATGAGTATTAAAGAACCATAGCTAGGCAAAAAAAAAAGGGATTTTGCTTCTTCTGTCACCTCTTCTGGCAGTGCAGTTAAATCTCGGTTCATTGCACTGGCCCGATGGGTCCTTTGCTGGGAGAGGGTGCTCAGGGCACCGCTCCAGCCAGATCTCCTCTTCCTGAAGCTTCCTCATTCTGATAAAGTCTACCTTTGGACACAGGACAAAGTACATTTCAAACAGTGCATTAGACCGGGGACACCTCTGTCCTTATCTAGGGATCTAAAGGAACAGCTGATCATTCTATGATTCTCATCTTGATGGAAGACTTGCTACTGCTGGTCCTGGTCCAGCCATCTGACTTTACCCAGGGCTCAAAGTGCTTGCCTGAAAAACCTCAGGACTTGAGTTGTGGCCGGGAATGTCACCTCTGCAGTGCAGAAGACGTGGCCCTTTAGGAGCCGGGGTGGTTGCAGTGCTGGGGTCAGTCTGTGCTGGTGTGGCAGCACCTGTGACATCTCAGCCCCGTCCCCGCACTCCCCAAGAAAGCTCCCTTGGTTTCAAAATTGCAAGAGTGGTGCTACACAAGGGATTTGGTGCAAAGAATACTCAGAGTTAAGGAAATATGTTATTAGGTTGGTTTTTTTTTCTGTGGGTCAAGTCCCAGGGTTTCATGTGGAAGTCGCTGTCACTGCAGCTTTGGACTCGAGCTTGGCTGAAGGGGCAGTAATGCATAAAACAGGTTTTCTGTCTCTGCTTCCTGCCCTGCCTTTTCCTGGCCCTTGTTTTTTCTTAGAAACTGTCACTTTTCAGGGCGTGTAGCTTGGAAAAAGGGTGGAACATGAGAGCGACCCGAGTGGGCTGGAGTGTGGGAGCGAGCACTTCATCCCCTGCAGAGCAGACTCCTGCCACCAATGCAGGCAATAGTTCAGTGGCACTAAAACAGTTTAGGCTTTTATAGGGCTGAAAATTACTCCGTTGGTGACACTAGCTGGGATGGTGTTGGAAGAGCTATTGAGGTTGGGGTTTTTTTGCTTCAGGCTCATTGTATTAAAAAATCCCCAGTCAGGCCCAGGAAAGCGAGACTGACTAAAAAGAGCAAGCCCAAAATACCACTGTTTCTTCCTTTATTCTCTTTCCACATTCTGGGTTCTTGAAGAGGAGATCAAATTCAGGCAGAGCTCAGTGATGACACGCTAATGGAGCTGGAGCCATGATCTACCCAGGCAGCACCACATTTGGCCCAGCCTTTTCTCTTGTGTAGCATTGCTGTAACACTCATTAGTGTGCCTTCCAGCTGCTTCCTAATTCCAACCACAGATGTTTTATATTTAAGGGAGAGGAAGAAGTTCAGGCTTCGCTGGTAGGTGTTAGTTAAACCTGAACCTGGCATTTTTCCTAGTGCAGACAAAGCCAAACCTCTCATTGCATCTGACCAAGTTCAGGGAAAGCTGATGGTCAATATCTGTGTTACAGCTCTTTTGTCTGTATAAACAAGGGAAAGGAGAGAAAGGGGTAACCAGGGAAGAGATGAGAGGGTTGTCCCAGGTCATACAGCAATGGGAATGAGACCCTTTACCCTTGAGACCTTTGTGGGGCTGAACGCAGCTCCTGGCTCATATTCTCTGAGTATGGCCTCTGCTTGAATGGTCTCACATCTTGCTTGTGCTGATGTTTTCTGTGGTAGGAAAGCCATGCTGGCTTGGTGGGGCTGGCTGGATTGCAGATACTGGTAGCAATCTTGACAGCCAGCAGCTCAAGGCAAGGGGAAAAGAGGAGGAAAGTGCTGAGAAAGTGATGCTAGTAATGGCCTTTCAGGCACAACGTGGGCAGTGTGTGCAGCTCATCATCAGGTCAGGCTCCTGCTAGGGCTCAGATCTTGCCATCCACGAAGCTTTTACACAGAGCAGCTTGTGGCCTGATTTTCCCTGCAGAGAACAGAACTCTTTTACCGACTCTCAGCTACACATTTTCTGCTTCATACGTTCCCTTTCCCTGTTCTGCAGCAGGATTTGTGTGGGCACAGACACTGCTGCTGTGAACTGAGAGATCGGAGGAAGCAAATCAGTAGCCGCAAGCGAAAAAGATCGATATTAAAATAAACCAGTTGCCAAAACAACTCCCTGTGTCAACCACATACTGGGATGAAATCCAAGGATATCTAAACTGGCTGAAATAGGCAGAGGATGTTGGTGTGTGGGAGTAATGTACCTGCATTTCCCGTGGCATCTGCTGCCTGCTGGGCACGCACCCGTGCCCTGTCTGATCCCTGGGAATAAGGTTCAGGTGCTGCTCCTCAGGTACAGCAGAGGTGGGCAATGTTAAAACAATATTAAGTAGCTTTGCTTTTGCATGTCAGTGTCATACCAGTGCTGCCTGCTGTGAAGTACTTGGTACTGGCATTACAAACCCTCTGCAGTGCAGGATCTTGGGGTATCGCTCAATTCGGCTTCGTAGCATCCACAGAGGGGAGAAAACTGAAATGCAGAGATTTATCTTGACTTTCAGCATCTCTCGGTTTGCCAGTCAAGAACACATTAGGTCCATTTCCTTCCAATACATGTGAAAGGTCCATGTGAGCATGACTTTAAATCCTCCTTTTCTGTATTTATGTACTAAAGGGTTAGGCCACACTTGGTAAACCTCAGGTTGGGATCTAAAAATCCAGACTTGCACCTTGTACAAAAGAAGCTCTGTTTTCACAGAGACTGAGCGCTTCCTGATCCGCCAACACCGATTGGAGATGTAAGTGCTCAGCACCAGACTCCTTTCTTTCAATAGCCCTTACTTTAGTTTAACGAGTGTTGGCTGTATCCATTAGCAATAAAATACAAGTTCAAATTTAGTCCCTGCCAGGCATGAAAATGTTTTCTTTTTTTTTTTTTTCCTTCTTTTTGGCATTAACGCTTGGAGATATTAATTTAAGTCTAAATGTTTCAAGAAAACAAATATCCCCTTTCTAAGGTTGTTTGTTGTTCTCCTTACCTTGGTTATTTTTGTCTCGATGTGAATATATAAAGTTGCGTATATTCACATCTGTATGTATGACACATGCTTCTGTTATTGCTGCTTGAATAAGTCTGCCTGGATTTTTCTTTGGGGTTTTGGATTTGGTTTTTGAGCTACTTATTTTGCTTCTCTCAATCAAAGACTGCTCCTCCAGCCACATGTCTCTTTGCCTGCTGTGGTGTTTGCTTTCTTCTCAAACCAGAGCTCTGATGAAATGTTTTGGTTTTTTTTTTCATTCCAATCAGTTGAAAGGTTTTTGCATCTACCAGCCTTGTTTGCCTCCTTCCTCCCCTCGAGTTCATCTTGCCCAGCCTCTGTCTGTTGGTCTAATATTTTGATTTCCCTGTTTCAACTTTGTAGCAGATGTTGTTCAGTCTCATGGTGCCGTCTTCATGGAAAACGCGTCCCTGTCCACCCCCATTTCAGCCCCTCAGTTCAGGGGCTTCCGGAGGGCCAGTGAGATCAGCATTGCCAGCCAGGTCTCGGGAATGGCAGACAGTTACACTGCTTCCAACATAGCCAACAGTAAGTGTTTCGCCCCCGCCGAGACCCCCCCTGCTCGCTGCCGCACCGCTCTCTCAGCGCCACGCACCGGGCCAGCACCACGCAGCTTCCGTCTGTCTGTCTGTCCGTCCCTCTGTCTGGGGTTATGCTTTCCGTTTTTAACCAGAAAGTTGGAAAGATTCCGCCTCTTCACCCGGTTTTGTAGTCAGCGCCAACGTGTTATCGTATCCCCTGGAGAAACAGATGATATATTTGATGATAATACAGAGGCCACCGCTGTGTTATGCCTGTTGGACCGTGCTAGTGATAAATTATTTTAAAAAATATAATAATAATTGATAACTGAGCACCATTTGGCCACTGTGCGTGCTGAGGGTTAATCCAAAGGAATGTTTCTGCGCTGCCGTTGATAAGTCGTGCAGCACTGGTAGGGATCAGCAGTGCCAGATTGATAATGCAGGACGTGGCGTGTGGCTTGATGCAGATCGCTTAGATGTCGTCCACAAAAACGGGGATGAGTAAGCCCCTCCGTAATGCTGAAAGGGAAGAACAGGTTTGGATTATTTATTACTTTGCATCAGAAATTCAGCTCTTTTGTAGCCCGCAGGGCAGCTCAGAGACTCAGCCAGTTACAGCCCCTATCCCAGAGTCAAACGAGGAATGAAAGGGATTTTTTTATTTGTTATTTTTCCCAAAACCTCTATAACTTCCCAGCTAAAACAGTGGAGAAAAAAATCCTTTGTTAACGGTTCAGCCCCTTCTTCATTTCAGCCAGAGTGTGAGATTAACAGTCCATATTCTCAGGGACCTTTGATAACTCAGACAGGAAAAGGATGAAAACCAAACAACTTTAAAAAAATATACAGTAATTAAATAAAACAAAACAAAACAAAACAAAAAACACACACCACACCAAAAGAAAAATCCTTTGTTAACGGTTCAGCCCCTTCTTCATTTCAGCCAGAGCGTGAGATTAACAGTCCATGTTCTCAGGGACCTTTGATAACTCAGACAGGAAAAGGCTGAAAACCAAACAACTTTAAAAAAATATACAGTAATTAAATAAAAAAAAACCAAAACAAAAAACACACACCACACCAAAAAAACCTTCAGCCCAAACTCTTGTTCCAGAAGGTGACAAAAATTTAGAAATACTCCATTTCTGGCACATTAGACCATGTAGGGCTATGGACAACTCGCTCCATAATCAATTGCTGAGGTTAATAATGCTCCCCCAGTTGCTGAAGGTCTATGGGCACTGGTCAGGGGCTGCTGTAACTCCTTCCCCTGTTTGAGGCAACGCTCAGCAGCAGGAATAAACTACCTGCACCCTGGCAAATGAGATTTTCCTTTCCCAAATTGCATTCGAGAGAGAGCGACACCGCACTCCCCTGTGCGTTCTTGTATCTGTCCTGGTAAGACATCTTGCCAACCGCTTGCTAAATATTAATGTGCTTGGGAAGCAGGCTCCTGGGGGAGAAGGTGTTTGTGTTGTGCTGGTTTCACGCCCACGGAGAGCTGCCGAGCTCGGCCGGCCGGGACGGGAAGCGGGGGGCGGTGGTTGTTGGTTCTGAAGTGTTTACGGCGGGGTGATGCCTGAGGGCCCACACGGTGTGACGATGGAGGGATGGGATGGAGGGACGCTGCCTCTGCGAGCTGACGGCAGGATCAGGCCCACGCAACGCTTGCCTCTCTTTGCTTTCCCCGTGCTCCCCCCCCGATTATTTAGCTTCTGGTTTGTGTAATTTATTCCTCCGTGCACTTCGCAGCCGGCGAAACCTGTTTCTGAGATGGGAGAGGAAGAGTCCGGCCCTGGCAGGGGCTGTGCACGTACCGTCACCCCACGTGCAGCCCATCCCAAGGGCTGTCACAGCCCTTTCCTTCGCCCCCCGAGTGCCAACGTGTCCTCTGAGCCCTGGCTCTGGCTTTGCAGCTCTTGTGCTCGACCTTATTAGCGTGGTGTTAATGTGAAGCTGTGGCACTGAGGGTTGGATGCCGTCCGTGCTCATCCCGCGGGGAGAGCCGGAGGAGCTCTAGAGGGACACTGCAAATCCATGGCTCCCTCCCGGGAGCTTCCCTTTCACAGAGAATTTCTGGAAGATGAAACTGGTGTTGCCTGTGGCATGTGTGTGCCATAAGAAGTAGTGTGATTTCTGCTTTTTTTTTTTTATTATTTATTATTTTATTTTTCCTTTTAGAAACCAAACACCAAGTTAATCATTGTAGAGGGTTTAGCCTTCTGTCCCAACTTGCCCTCCCTCACAAGTCCCCTACTCAAACCTCGTCCAAGAGACGTAGACAGCATAAACATGAAATCCCTTCAAAGGGAAGAAAATTCAAAGGGCCATGGAGTCAGGCTGCACACTCTGCTCTTCGGATACCCGACCTGGACATCAAGACAGGTATTCTGGAGAGATCCGCTCCAGTCGACCTCCTCTCTCATTCAATAGTCACAGAACTTCACAACAAATCTATGCACTTTCACTGAGGCACTTGCAATTTCTGATTGCATTTTAACAAGTATTTCTGTCACTTTGCTCTAAAGATCGATCATAACACGGCTAACAACTTGGCGAGAGCAGGAGTTCTTCTGGGCAGAGCTGTGGGGACAATGCTTCTGCCTCCACCACTGTCTTTTGAGCATGGAAGAGCAAATCCTGTCTGCTTCCTACAAAGAATCTGAAATTACCCAAGCTGGGGACTTGCATGAGAAATGAAAAGTTGGGACATGACCAGGAGCTGCCAATTTGGAAGACAGGGAGACAGAAATAGCTGCGAGGAGGTGCCTGTGTGCTCTGGAAATGCCACGTTGATCCATCAGTGCCCTTCTCCTCCTTCCCATGGCTCTTCAGAAAACCAAGGGCCATTAGGATGATGGTGGCCTGGGCACTCAGCACAGCCAGGGCTGGACATAGGGATGTGCTGATGTGATGATGACCTCTGCACAAGCTTTGTGCAGGTCTCTGGAAGGAGCTGGTGGGTCTATTTTTTCAGTTCAGCATCTGTGCTCGTCACCAGCTAGATTTCCCTTAACAAGAGGGGTTTGTTGGATCGTACCTGATACCTGGCAGTTTTCCTGGAAATCCGGGATGATGGTGGCCTGGGCACTCAGCACAGCCAGGGCTGGACATAGGGATGTGCTGATGTGATGATGACCTCTGCACAAGCTTTGTGCAGGTCTCTGGAAGGAGCTGGTGGGTCTATTTTTTCAGTTCAGCATCTGTGCTCGTCACCAGCTAGATTTCCCTTAACAAGAGGGGTTTGTTGGATCGTACCTGATACCTGGCAGTTTTCCTGGAAATCCGTAAAAAGGGAACATTGTCACAGAGAAAAAAGCAAGCTTGAGAAAGCTCTTGTCAAAGCCCCAGCTTGCAGCCTGCATGCAAACATAGCTCCTCCTGTTGCTCTCTTGATCTGATCCATCTTCTCTTTCCATGGCTGCTTTTCCAGTCTGGAGCGCGCGGGTGTTGACTTCTCGGTGCTGGGAAAGCATCCCATGCCTTTGAAGTCTGAGGCTTTGGGCTGAGATCCCTTCATTGCTAGGGAGTTGGAAAGGAGCTCAGGGTTGGGCAGAGCTCAGGGCAGCGTTGAAGTGTGGTGGGTGAATGGTGGCCATCGGTCACTTGCGTGCTAGTTGTTGACTCCCCGAGGGAGAAGATCTTCTGCATTGTCTGTAGCCTTGCTCACCCAAAATCCCAATGTGTTTTTCAGTCCCATGTGCAATGGATTCCTGGCACTCCTGGACACTTTTCTCGTTGGCCGCTGTAGAGGCTCTGCTCCTGGGGAGGCTGGGCTGGATGTCTCCATTGCCTACAACATGGTAGCCTGGAAGGGCAACCAGGACTTGTTGGGGACTGCCAGTCCTATCAGCACGTGCCACTCTGCCTTGTGGTGCCTTTTAGCATCTCAGATGGGTTCCCAGTACTCAGATCCTCTTCAGTGTGGCCAATATCTGGGTGTTAAAGAGTCTTTTATTCCTTGGTGAAAGCTAAAAGAGTTGAAAGTGGGACCATTGATGGCCTGGGCATGTACTGTGGTGGGCAGAGCACACACACCCTTCCTCCCACAGCCCCAGGGAGATGTGTTTCTGTCTTATGTTTCAGCCCATGAGCCTTGGCCCCTTCCCTGGAGTCTCGACTAACAGCCAATTCATACCTGCCCTCTAGTGCCTTCCTATTTACTTAAATAAAGGAGAGCTCAAGTGGTGGTGCCCCCGTGTGTTCCTCCCTTGGTTTGAGCAAGCACTGAGCCCTGGGTCAGTTGTTCCCTCTTAGCAGTGCAACCAGCCAGGGAGCAACCTCCCGGCGTTCCTGGAGCGAGGAGCCAGAGCCTCAAAATACCATTTGTGACGGAGACCGTGTGTGCACGTGAACCCCCTTTGTCTGAACGAGTCTTTTGCTTCTAGTTGCTGCCAAGTGGTGGGGAACCAAAAGGATTGACTACGCACTCTACTGTCCTGACGCTCTGACAGCTTTCCCTACGGTGGCTTTGCCGCACCTCTTCCATGCGAGCTACTGGGAGTCCACAGACGTTGTCTCCTTCCTGCTGAGACAGGTATGGTCATCCTCCCTCCTCCGGTCTCCCTTGGGCTGAAAAATATTTTGGGCTCTTTGCTTTTTTCCACTGCACCTTCCATAACTCTCGATGCATAGAGGTGAAAAAATACCCTTTGCCACAGCAGATCCATTTTCTTTCCCTTCTTTTTGTTCCTCACCTGTGGTGTTAGTGGAGCTGCACCCACATAAACTTCACGGATGTGTGCTGTCACACCTGGTTAGTTTTGGTCTGGGTTTTATACTCAGAGTGGGTTTCAGATGGGCTCACCAAGGAGCCATGGAGTGAGCCCAGGCCTGTTTCCTATCAGATCTGAGTGATAAAAGTTGGTGGCATTTATTTCTTGAAGTGAGCTGTTCTCTGTGCAAGTTTGGATCTTGTGTGTGAAACTTAAAGGAAACTTCTCAATGTACAAATAAAAATAGCACCAAATACAATAAAACTAAAGGAGAAGTTTTGTATGAATTTGAGAGGAGTTGATAGACAGCTCGGTTCTCCATTTTGGTTTCTATGTTATTGTGGTCTCCTCTAGGAACTCAGACCATCGTCACTGCCTTGGGATTTAGTCTTCGTTCCTCCAGTACGAAGCAGTTCTCCTGGGGCTAGGTAAACGGGGATTGCTGGTGTCTGGAGTCTGACATCTCAGATTTTAGCAACCTATGTTTGGCCTGAGATGTAAATCTACTGTTTAAAACATGTTCTTCCTAAAAATAAATATTTTTCCTTCAGTTCCTTGGGGATGAGGGGGAGTTATTTGCCTTACAGAGTATGAACCCCCCGAGGAACAGTACTTAGAGAATGGAATTGGAAGAAACAAAACTAAAAGCAACTCTGTGGATTGTGTTGCCCACTTTGGCACTCGGGTTTGCTTTGTGTTAGCTCCGCTGTTAAGCCGTCGTCACTCTCTTCCAGCCTCCTCGGCTGCAGCTCTCAATTATTTATGCCTCTGTTGGCAAACTTTCTTTCAGTGCTATCTTCCAAATAGTCTGGGAACCATAAACAACAGAGATGTCAGTGCTTGTGGCAGCTGAGCGGTAGTGATAATCCAGTGAGACCCTTTCTTCTCAGGCTGTATCTCGCCCAGCAAGACACCTCAGTGCTTGCACACACCTTGTTGGATCAGCTGCTGTGAAACCCCAGCCCTGCATTGAACTCAGCCTAATGGGGCTGAAGAGAGAGGCCCCTAATTGTGCATGAGTAGGAACAGTCACGACAGTCTCCTACAAAAAATGCTCTACTCAAGAAATAGCCAATTACTCGGGATTCAGCCCAAACCTGGGTCTGTAGCACAGTGTGGGGCTTCATATCTTGCAACTCAAGGTACCTCTCCATCCATTCAAAGCCTGGGTAGTCTGGGTCCCCTCTCCCCTGATGCCCTTCTCTACTTGCTTGTCTCTGTCTTGAGACCAGGATTTTTCTCGTTCCTTGTCTTCTTGCTGTCCTTCCAGAGCACCACGCCACTTCTTCCCCTAATAAGGATTTGTTTCTGATCGCCTTTGAAAGTCATCTCTGGACAAAATGTAAAAGTAAGCTGTTGAATAGTTTTAGCCTCCAAAGGCTTGTTAAAACAAGCCCAAATAGGACTCAAAATAGATTCCTGATTTAAATAATTTTCAGTAAAACTTGTTATTTTGTTTACCCTGGATTTCCATAAACTCCCTCGCCAGCAAGCTCATCCTCCCTGGAGTCCTTTTTCCATTTTCCTGGAAGAAAAACAGCTTCAGCTCTGCAAAGCGAGCTGGCATGCATCAGACCACTACAGCCTGGGTCAGCTGGAGAGCTGGGGACCACACATAATACGTTCAAGACCTTGTAAAAGAGCCTACATTTAAGAGGAGAGGGAGGGTCACTGGGGACTACTGTCAATTTCAGAGTTCTCCATGCAGGGTCACCCCGCAGTCTTACAGCAGTCTTTGACATGTCCCCTCACCTTTGGGCTCTGTGGTGTTCTTCCTCCCTTTCTCTTCTAGAGATTAAGAGCAGTCTAGGTAGGATCTAATCCTGCTTCTGCATCGCTGCCTGCACCCTGGTGACAGGCAGGAGTTGCCTCCAAAGGCTGGCTGGTGGGCATCACCTTTCTCCCTCTTTGATCCTTGCTGTGGTGCAGTGACATCCCACCAGCACAAAGTCCTTGAGCTCAGTCAACTTCGGAGACAAAGTCAGGATGGACAGACATGCTGGGTTCTGCCTCGTGTGTGGCTGAACCAGACCCCCGTGTGCCTCTGCTGGGGTCATATCAAAGGTTTTGTCTCCTCTCAAAATGAGAGGACAGGAAGGCAGGAGCAGTCCAAAATGTGTTTAAACAGAAATAAGAAATGAGCTGAAGGAACAGCACCTATCAGCATGAGTCAGAGAAGCCTCAGCTGGATCTGGTACAGGAACAGCAGAAGATGTGCTTTTGAAGGAGAGGGGTCTCCCACAGACCGTGGGAAGAGACTAATGAACGCTTTGAAGAGGGGCAGATATCGAAGTGCAGAGCTCGTCCTGCTGCGTTTGAGTCAGTTTTGTGTCTCCTGACATTCCAGCCAGGGCTAAGTCAGCGCTGGCCAGAGGCTTTGCTGGTTCAGAAGAGACCACTTGTCCCTGCAATTAAGGGAGCATCCAGTAAAACCTGTAAACTTACAAGCCAAATGCCCAGCAGGAAAACTCTGAGCCGGTTCTGTCCAGACATTGCTCTTACTCAGCGCTGGCTTGGGAGATGCAGAACAGGGTGGACGGGAAGAGGGGGGTCAGTGTGCCAAGTGGCTGATGTGTTGGTGGGATCTGTCCTCCCGCAGGTGATGAGGCACGAAAACTCCAGCGTTCTGGAGCTGGATGGGAAGGAGGTGTCTGTTTTCACCCCCTCCAAGCCCCGTGAGAAGTGGCTCCGCAAGAGGACACACGTGAAGCTCCGGGTAAGGGTGTTTTGGGGCTGTGGCGGGTGGGTGGGATGGGTGGGACCCCCCCTCATGTAGAGGGGTTTCAATTTGGGCTGCAAGAACAGCACTGAAGGCAGCCAACCAGTGTCTGTCCACAGCAGAGACAGAGGATCCCATTGCACTGCTGGTGTATGTTAGTGATTATATCCTCCCCGTGTGGTTGTGAAAGAGTAACTCAGAAAGGTACCAGCAAGATCTGCTCTTGGCCTTGACTCTATGTAAAATACAGAAAGCATTGGATGTGGTTCAGGGAAAGGGATGGAATGTCTTTCAAAGTCCAATAATCCAAGTTCTCTGCTTGGTAAATGCCCTTCGCTCCCAGTAAATGTCTCCAATTCCCCAAAGAGGGCAATTCTCTGCTGGAGCTGAAACAATGTCAGCACATTTCTCTGGCAGCTGTTTGTATTGCCTCTTAAATCCAAAGTGTAAGAGTTAATAGACAGTATCAGAATTGCGCGTACAAACTGCCATTGGAATTGGCTTTTCAGCCATGTACACTCAAATCTGCCCCGTCAGTGTGAGGCACAGAGTCTCACCTCTGCCACAGCTCAGATTCTTTTCTAAAGCTGAGAGCTGTAGGTGGAGCAGAGGGAGGGAATGGCACAGAGAAACCCACGCTCTGATTTGTCCCATTACATTTGGCATTTCCTCGTAAGGCTGTCCATCACTGCAAATTTTTTTTTATTTTTTTTTTTTTTCCTTCTTGACTGGTGCAGAACGTCACAGCGAACCACAGGATAAATGACACCATCGCTAATGAAGATGGGCCCCAAACCTTGACTGGAAGGTTTATGTACGGTCCATTAGATATGGTGACACTCACAGGAGAAAAGGTACTATGTCTGCTACAGGGTTTGCACACCATGTGGTGAAAAGTTGAGGGGGACAGGGCCAGAGGTGGTTCTGGTTGGTGCTCCCTTGGTCCCTGACGGGGTTTGCTACCGTTGCATCTTGGCCAGCTTCCCCTGCAGACCTGTGTGGTGCCTCCTACCAGGAACAGCATTCATCATGGAGGTCTTCACCACCGAGGCTGGGTTTCATTCCAGCATCCTGATGTTTGGGTACTTCTCAGCTCAGATCTGTGAAGTGCAGAGGGTGGAAGCAGGACCCAGCCCTGCTGCCATCCAAAAGGACTTGGATAGAAGGTCCCCCTGCTTGGCCAGTTGTATTTGTCTGTGTCTTTAATGCTGTTGTTGACCCAGCCTTGCTGTCTTCCCAGGTGGACATCCATATCATGACCCAGCCACCGTCAGGAGAGTGGGTTTACTTTGACACGGAGATCAGCAACAGCAGTGGCAGGATTTCTTATGTCATCCCAGAGAACCGGCGCCTGGGCATTGGCGTGTACCCTGTCAAGATGGTGGTCAGGTGAGGTACCTTGAGGTGCCAGGGCTTAGTTTGCAAGAGGGACAAAAGAGGAATTTGATGACTGTAGAATATGGCCCCTCCGTAGAGGGACAGCTCTGCATGTTGGGTGGGATCAGAGCCTGGTTTGCCAGCAACCAGGGACAAAGCCATTTGTACGCTACAGCTGTAGGAGAAAGATCCACATTTTATTCTGCCTGCTGCATTGTCAACACCATGGCAATTGAGCTCCCGTTGCAGGAGCAGGCCTTCTGCACCACAGACATATGGCAATCGCAGTCATCTGCAAAACTGCACATCTGAGTGTAATTTAAAGACCATAAACTTGTCCTTGAGGGACAGAACTTTGTACTGGTGATAATTCACAGCCCAGGGGCTCCATCTCAGCTCCAGTTGCTGGTGTTGAGTTCTGGAAGGGAAAGGAAGGGAACATTTTCTCAGTGGTGATCCCAGCAATGGTTTTCTGGAGGTAATTTTTTTAATCCCTGACTCCAGACTACTATTTCCATCCCCATTTTAGCATAGAGGCCCTTGTGCAATGCCCATCACTCCTGTAATTGAGGGTCTAATTGCTGTCATTGAGCCAGATCTGGGTGCTGCTTTGGGCTTGTGGTGCACTGCAGGACTTGGTGATACCTTCTGAATATCTTGATGCTTCTAAGCACCTGCATCCCTTTCAGGGGTGACCACACATACGCAGACAGCTACATCACGGTCCTGCCGAAGGGGACGGAGTTCGTGGTGTTCAGCATCGACGGCTCCTTTGCAGCCAGTGTGTCCATCATGGGCAGCGACCCCAAAGTCCGCGCCGGAGCAGTCGACGTTGTAAGGTCAGCAGCAGGGGTTTGGGGCGGTTGCTCTGTTTCACCCTCATGTCAACTCTAGGTCTGCCATCCATTGACTTGTGTCTCTCCTCCTAGGCACTGGCAAGACCTTGGCTACCTCATTATCTACGTCACAGGCCGCCCCGACATGCAGAAGCAGAGGGTGGTAGCGTGGTTAGCACAGCACAACTTCCCCCACGGGATCGTCTCCTTCTGCGATGGGCTCGTTCACGACCCGCTGCGGCACAAGGCCAACTTCCTCAAATCCCTCATCACGGACGTAAGCCTGGGGCTGCTGAAATATGATCGTGGCACGGGTTTAGATTGCTCCTCGTCCAATTGCCCCTGTCAGCACCAGTCTCTTGGCAGCGATGTGACCCGCAGTGGAAGATTAATCTGTTCATTTTATTTTCATCCTTTTATTGCTCTGCAAGAGTGTCTATGCTGTTAAATTGTGTCATCTCTGCTCTGCGCTGCTCCATTTCATCACTGGTCCTTCCAGCACCAAATGCCTGATGAAATAGAGGCAGCAGTGCCTCCATTCCCCACACGGGCACCTTTTTCACCTCTTTGGTGGCTTCCTGGCTGCCTGTGGTGTAACCACAAGTATCCAAGAGGACATGGAGCTGCTGCCGAAATGGACCAGCCTTGACGGGAGACTCCATAAAGTATTTTCCCAAATGTTTGGTCCCAGAGAGGTCTTAATGTCACTCAGCCCAGAGCCTCAGAAAAGCTCCAGATAAAACAAGGTTTTCTCTGTCTGTGAAGGAACTTCCAGGTGTCCTGAGCACTTGTGCCCTGCCTTGAATGGCAGGAAAAGCCCTTTATTAACTCTGGTTTTGGCCTGAGTCACAGAGGTAGGAGCAGCTGGCCCTTACTCACTGCCTGCTCTCCCTTGTCCTCCAGAAGAACAAGTTTGTGACCAGGGTAAGAGGTTCCCTTTCCATCTCCCTGGCTTGCCTGCAGCTCTGGGGACAAAGCTGGCCAGTCTGTGGTGGCCCCAGTGTCTGCACCTCCCCTGCCAGCCTCTGTCTCAGCCCACTAAGGAAAGGGTTGGCCAGGAGCTGCTGTCTGCTCGGAGCGGAGGCAGACGAATCCCTGAAAAAGCAGCAGTATTTTGCTGCCTGTCCCTTCTCCCTCTGCCCAGCAGAGTTAAACAGCAGAATCACATGCACCAGCACGGCCGGTGGAGGGGAACGCTCCCCGCTAACGATTACTGCACTGGGGGGTACAAACAGCTCCTCTCCCCCAGTGACAAGCTGGCGGTGAAGTGTGCGACGTCCCTGCCCCCTGCAGACCTCAAGGAAAGGCTGTGGGTCAGCAAGCGGAGATCTGCTTTCAGATTGCTGCTACTCCTCTTGTTCTGGCCTGTAAACATCCCCAGCTCTGTTAATTAGCACTTTGCACAGCGGTGCGTTATCCAGCTGGGAACTTACATAAGTTATTGGCCTGACATTCCCACAAATGCTATTTAAAATTTAAAAAAAAAAAAAGCCCTGCCTGTTGAGCACGGGGCGCCCATATGTTCTGACCGCGTGTTGCTTTCTCCCCCCACAGCTCCACATGAGGATCCATGCAGCGTATGGATCTACAAAGGACATCTCTGTCTACAGCTCCATCAGCCTCCCGCCCACGCACATCTACATCGTTGGCCGACCCACCAAGAAGCTGCAGAGCCAGTGTCAGGTAGGAGCCAGCTTGTCTGAGCCCTGGAAGTGCTGCCAAGGGCTTCCTGTGGGAGGGTGATGAGAATTTGGTCATCTTAAGACTGAATTTCACTGAATTTTTAGAGTTGGAAGGGACCATAGAGATCATCAAGTCCAACTCCCCTGCTAAAGCAGGATTGCCTAGAGCTTGTCAGAGCATGTTACTCAGGACAGCATCCAGGCGGGTCTTGAAAATCTCCAAAGGGGACTCCACAACCTCCCTGGGCAGCCTGTTCCAGGGCTCTGGCACCCTCACTGTGAAGAATTTTTTCCTCATATTTGAGTGGAACCTCTTATGTTCCAACTTGTGCCCATTGCCCCTCATCCTCTCACTGGGAACCACTGAAAAGAGTCTGGCTCCCTCCTCCTTCAACCCACCCTTGAGATACTTGTCAGCATTAATAAGGTCTCCCCTCAGCCTTCTCTTCTCCACTTCAGACTGGTGACTAAGCTAGTGTTTGCCAAAAGGACAGGGACTGCCCCACAGACCAGGACCCATCACATCTCTCAGTCTGACCGCGTGTTGCTTTCTCCCCCCACAGCTCCACATGAGGATCCATGCAGCGTATGGATCTACAAAGGACATCTCTGTCTACAGCTCCATCAGCCTCCCGCCCACGCACATCTACATCGTTGGCCGACCCACCAAGAAGCTGCAGAGCCAGTGTCAGGTAGGAGCCAGCTTGTCTGAGCCCTGGAAGTGCTGCCAAGGGCTTCCTGTGGGAGGGTGATGAGAATTTGGTCATCTTAAGACTGAATTTCACTGAATTTTTAGAGTTGGAAGGGACCATAGAGATCATCAAGTCCAACTCCCCTGCTAAAGCAGGATTGCCTAGAGCTTGTCAGAGCATGTTACTCAGGACAGCATCCAGGCGGGTCTTGAAAATCTCCAAAGGGGACTCCACAACCTCCCTGGGCAGCCTGTTCCAGGGCTCTGGCACCCTCACTGTGAAGAATTTTTTCCTCATATTTGAGTGGAACCTCTTATGTTCCAACTTGTGCCCATTGCCCCTCATCCTCTCACTGGGAACCACTGAAAAGAGTCTGGCTCCCTCCTCCTTCAACCCACCCTTGAGATACTTGTAAGCATTAATAAGGTCTCCCCTCAGCCTTCTCTTCTCCACTTCAGACTGGTGACTGAGCTAGTGTTTGCCAAGAGGACAGGGACTGTCCCACAGACCGGGACCCATCTCATTTCTCTAAGTGGTTCCATGTCTCGTATGTCACCCCAGAGAACCTGGCACAGCGAACCCGTTTGGCTGCCAGTGGCTCTCAGGGAAACGTGTCCCATCCCTCTTAACGCCTGCCCTCACCCCTCTTGTCTGGCAGTTCATCACGGAGGGGTACGCGGCCCACCTGGCCCAGCTGGAGTACAACCACCGCTCGCGCCCCGCCAAGAACACCACCCGCATGGCGCTGCGGAAGGGCAGCTTCGGGCTGCCCAGCCAGACCGAGTTCCTGCGCAAGAGGAATCACCTGCTGCGGACCATCTCCTCCCAGCCTTCGGCCACCAGCGGCGGCGCCGGCCACCGTCCCGAGCGCACCCAGAGCCAGTCCGACAGCGACAAGGAGAGGGACAGGGAACGCAGCCAAAGAAGCATGAGCATCGCCACGGGGTGCTGGGGCCGGAGCGCGGCGTCCCGGCTGGAGTCTGGGCTCTTGGGGCAGAAGTAGCCAGATCAGAGCCAGCGACTGTCGGCTGCAGCCACTGGAGGAGAAAACAAAAGGAAAAGAGGGACGAGGCCGGCGTTACGGGCTGGAAGGGTAAATATGGTGCTACTCTAATAACATCATGGTATTCTGGGAAGAGACGGGATGTTTCCCACGCAGAACGTGCAGGCCTTGCAGCGGGAGCGTCAGGTTTGTGCAGCATGAGCCCAAGGAACAGCTGGAAATCGGGGGGGGGAAAGTCTCCAGGTCAAGATCGCGCTCTCTCCTGCCTCCTTCTCTTATCCAGGTTTAGTGACTGTAAATACGTGCCTCCTCGCCTTGTTAGCCATTGCTCCGACATGCGTGACCGAGAGCTGTCCTCAGAGCCACAGGAACAGGGGATAAGGCTGGGGGAATTTGTTCTTGGTTGTCCCAGGAGTCAGACGGAGGTGCTCTGCTGGTGCCGGCACAGGGTGGGTTTGGGGGTCGATCAGCGTGCTGTTTCCCTGGCACAGACAGCCCCAAGCGAGGGATTGATGGTGGGCTGTGCCAGGCAGAGCAACCAAGAGCTTTACCTGGTCAAAGAGCTTCAAGTTCAGCCACTTTCTCAAGGAGTACGTGCAGTGGCAAAGCGTAAAGATGTCTCAATGCTGTTGGTAGAGGCAGAATGTCGGCAGATTCACGCCCAAGAAAGTGGGGTCGTTGTTGTTATTACTGTTATTTTTTAAAGAGACCTTTTAGAAGCCGATGGAATTTAACGCGTTGACCTATTAAAAGAGGAATACAAGCTATTTTGTTTGAGCTGTTACAAACCTCAGACACTTAATTTGCCGCTAAAGTCTCCAAATATTCTCACTATATATTATTTCCAAAAGTAACCACCGTATCTTTGGAAGCAGCTGAAGGCACTCAGCAGCTAGATTGCATTGCAGTTCTTCTCATCCAAATGCAGGGTCTGACTCTCTCAACACCCACCTCTGAGACGTTTTCTTCTTCCCAGGTTCTCTCCAAGTTCAGTAGCAGCTTTCATGGGAACTAGACTCGCTTCTTTTACCTGTAGTTACTGAACTGTAAAACCTCATTGTTTTTTGCACTGATGATTTTTAGAATGGAAACCTGTTACCATCTCATGTAGCTACACCTAACTGTTTGTAGTGCATGACAATGAAATATCGCTAAGCCAGGGTGTGTGTGTGTATATATATACACATATATGCATATACATATGCACACACACGTATATATATGTATATGTATATATTTAAAAAAAAAAAAATCTGTGCAGAAGTTTTTTCCAGCAGTAAGGAGACTGTAAGGAAGTGTGCCAACCATGTCAGGCAAGCTTAAGAAAAAAAGGCCATATCTTAATTTTCCTGGTGTGTTTCTCAGTGGACGTGCCTGAGCCGGTGGTTTGTGCGCTGCCGGAGCGAGCCGGGGCTGGGTGGGTGGCAGAGGGGAGCGCGGGGCGAAGCGCTGGCTGCTGACACCGAGGCGTGCGGTGCAGGAACAGGAGCACATGGCTCTGCAGCAGCGAGGGAGAACAGTGCCTAGAGCCAGGGCTTGCCAAAAAGCCCCTCAGTCCTGTCCCTCCCGGGTCGGCCCCGGCGCAGGACCCAGTTCCCTCCTTGCACACACCACCCAGGGCGGAGGGGCGTCCACCCCGGGGGCTCTGGGGGTGCCCATTTACAGGCTCCAGTTGGCCTCTTCACGTGGAGATTTTATAGTCCTACCGAGCTCCCCGACTAGGTGTAACCCTGCTTTCCCCCACCACACTTCCCTGTCTTTATATCACTTTCTACTTATGAGGACCTTATTTATAACAAAGAATTTTTTAGACTGGCTGCTTCATTTTATTAACTGTTTGAATATTGAAGTGCAGGACGGCCGCACTGAGACACACAGCACTGTGAACACTGCTCTGCTAATTGGCTCTGGGCCACGGTAGGCAAATCTTAACTCATCAGACACCCAAGGTAGATCTCACGTGTCCGTGGCGCTGGAGGGTGGGAGGGGAGGCAGAGGAGGGACAGTGCTGAGCTGCCACCGACGGCCCCCCAGCCGCTGGAGGGCTCAAACCCAACTGCCCGCCTGCCGCCCAGTGCATCTCCCACGTCCTGCAGCCTGACTGCAAAATGTTTAACCACTTCTCTTTGGTAATTCTTCGATTACAGAATGTATCTATCCGATGACTTTTGTTACCGAAAACTGACTTCCCTTTCTGCCGACTCAGCTTAGCTCTCTCTCCGAATGTACATCCAGAGCTTACTGGGTTTAAAAACCAATGTGAATTGTCCCAGCTTTTCGCTAGTCGAATGTTATATCAAAACAGATGCCATCTGAGTAGGAAGCCAAGCCACAACCCATCCTGTGAAGTCACCAAACCACGTCATGAAATAATTTCTGCAAATTTGGATATGGCCTTTGCAAAACTCCACTTTCCTCCAAGCCCACAACCAAGGCATGATCTGTACATTTTTCCAATGCTGACGAGATGTTCACATTTTCTTATGTGTAGATAGTGTAAAACAGAGGCGAATGTAAATGTTCAACATAAAAAGTGGATATATAAAATTGAAAGTTATTTATTTATGTAGAGGGGAAAAAAATGTCTGGAGGGACTGGAACCTTCAGGGTTTATTAATATTTAAAAATGTAGCTTTTTGTTTCAGGCATTATGTACAAAGCAATTATTTTATGGACCAAGTTTAATGTAACTGTCAATGAATGCAGAAGTGCAATATTATACTCACCTCTCCATCACTTCATGTTTTAATCAGCTACTAACCAGTTAGACTGACAATCACAGCACCTCCGTCCTCATCGTTTGTTGAGCTTCTTGAAACTTGCCTGGGTCCTTTCCCTGGCCCCCCTCCCCATCTGTTGCCATTGTACGGATCCAACACGGAGAAGCAATTGTAGAGCAGGACCTTTATTGCTGCAATAATACCAGATGAGGTGGGTGTAGTTACCAGGAAATATGCCAATAAGTTGTTTTTTTTTTTTTCTCCACCGATTCAGTCCATCGTAGCCTACATCAATCTATCCTCAGCCGCCCCCATCTGGCACTCATCTATCTGAAGCAAAGATCAACGTGCTACTCACTCAAAGAACAATAGCAATAGTTTAACTCTGTGTTTATAACCTGTTTGTTCCGAGCTGTTTTGGAGAGCGATGCATGTGACCCGATGCCTTTCCACGTGTACGGAAGAGGATCCGTTTGGATGCGGTGAGGGAAAGATGAATGTATAATCCATCCTTACTAAAGGGGCACTGTCAGGTTACAGACCTAATTTATCTTTATTACAAATAACTTGTTTGCTTCAAAATGATAAAAATATAAAGTTTCTTGTACTCTTCCCTATCTCTGTTGTCTGGGCAGCCATCGGTGCGACCGGCGAGTCGCGCTGCTTCTGCTGCAGCCCACGGCCCCTTCTCACGCAGTAGCACAACGCGGCCCGCGCTGCGCAGGCTGCCTCACTCTAAATTATTTTTTTTTCTTTTTAAAATTGTTTCCATGGGAATCAAACCCTGCTGTGGAGCTCAGATTTATTTTTTTTTTTATAAAAAGCAGCTTTTTGTATTACTGCGCTATCGGGCTAGACTTTCTACCTGACGCTGTCCCTTTAAAGTCTTTTAAAAACAAAGAGGAGCCCGTGCATTCCCTCCCAGTTGTTTTGTTTTTTTTTTTCCTGGGTTTAGCTAGATCACTCGGTCAGATGAGGCGAAATCCTAATACCAAAAAACGTTTACAGTGTCCGACACGCGAGCCGAGAGCAGTAATTAGCCAAAGGGTTACTAACGAACTCCCGCTCCGCCCAGCAGCCGCCGTGCTTGCTGTAGCAGCCCCTTCTTCAGGTATCGCCACCGTTTGCTGCATTTCCTCTTAGTTCTAGAAGCCTTACGGTCCCCTCCCTGTCCTCGGCACCCTCTCTCTCTCTCTCTCTGCCTGTTGATACCCTCGACTGTCAATTTTATATTCCAACGATGTTAGTTATATTATTTTATTTATAAAAAATTGCTTTAGGGGTACCAGACGTGTGTGTGTGTGGGGAACCACCGGAGGGCATGCCCGAGGGCGCCGGCAGCCCCCTGTGCGTACAGTACCGTGCCGATGACTCGCTTGTGTGTGACAAACCTTCTGTACAACTTCCTTCTCCTCCTTGCTGTTAGTGCATCGTTCCAACGCCTGGGTGTGCTTTGTGTACAGTATCATTGTGAGTTACACAGATTAAAGAAATGGGAAGGCTCTTCTCTGTCTGCTTTTTTTTTTGTTGTTGTTGTTTTGGGGAGACTCTAGAAACAAAGTCACAGACCCCAAGACGTGAGCAGGTGCCAGTTTAATGGGGTTACAGCGATGACCAGAACACGGAGACCCTCTGCACAGATCACTCCTGCGGAACCTGTTTGTCCTTTAACCCATTTGTCCTTTTATATTTTTTTTTTTTTAGCAGTCTGTAGATGTGTGGACTTTGCAGTGGGGGGAAAGGCCAGCTCTTTGCTTCACAGCAGCTGTGGGCACGGGCCCAACCACCAGAAGCCCAGAGCCCTGACACTGCCTGGGGCCTGTGCTGCAGGGAAGGGACACCAGTCACATGCAGGAACAAACAGGAAGGCAAAGCCACCCTTCTGCAGAGCACGCCTGCGGGCATCCCAGTGCCACATGCCTGGTCCGTGCTCCCCCAGCACCACCCCATGAGACAAAACTGCAAAAAGGCAGAGTACAGCCCCTGGGAACCAGTGGAGGGTGGCACTGGGAGGCACAGAGGAGATCTGCAGCCTTAGCAGAGCCACGGCTGCTCCTCTCTGAGCAGGCTGGTGACTGAGAAGGGCTGAGGAGCCTGCAGCACCAGGTAAACACGGGGCATGCAGATCCAGCAAGGAAGGGGCCAAGCAAGAGCAGACCCTGAAGGGAAGAAGTGGCCACCAGCTGCATACCCTGGCCTGGCCACAGTGTTGGCTTCTACCCACTGCAGCCCAGAGCTGAGGGGCAGCAGCACCTCTTGGTGCTCAGGGCCAGGGAGCCTCTCCCCGGGTGCTGCTGAGCTCCTCCAGCCCTGGAAGGGGCAGTGGGGTAAGCAGGGCCACGTGCATTACAGCCATGCTGGCCCCAGTCAGGGGAGGGAGGGGAGAAGCTGTTTACTGGGAGATGAACCATTAATGTCACTCTCTTTCCCAGTTGGTAACTTACAGAACAGCTGGAAACTGCCCCTGGGGAGGCATCCTGACGCGGTGCTGTGTGGTCCAGAGACAGAGGCTCACATCTGGGCTGCTGCTGACAGCAGGACAGGCTTCTGGCACAGCTGGGACTCACTGCAGCATCCCCGTCCTCACCTGGAAGGCCAGCCCGTCCCCTCGGGTGGCTTGCTGCAAAGGGAGAGACACAGGCACTCACAGGGTGAAGGAACACCAGCACCCACCCACTGGGTGCTGCTGAGCTCCTCCAGCCCTGGAAGGGGCAGTGGGGTAAGCAGGGCCACGTGCATTACAGCCATGCTGGCCCCAGTCAGGGGAGGGAGGGGAGAAGCTGTTTACTGGGAGATGAACCATTAATGTCACTCTCCTTCCCAGTTGGTAACTTACAGAACAGCTGGAAACTGCCCCTGGGGAGGCATCCTGACGCGGTGCTGTCTGTGTGGTCCACAGAGGCTCACATCTGGGCTGCTGCTGACAGCAGGACAGGCTTCTGGCACAGCTGGGACTCACTGCAGCATCCCCGTCCTCACCTGGAAGGCCAGCCCGTCCCCTCGGGTGGCTTGCTGCAAAGGGAGAGACACAGGCACTCACAGGGTGAAGGAACACCAGCACCCACCCATGGGGGCCCCTGCAGAGCTGCCAGGGCTTGGATTCCTGTGGTAGAGTTGATGGGGTCCCCAGGGAGGCAACAGAACACCTCTGGGTGCAGCAGCTCCCCCAGCTGCACCCACCCACCCACCAGCACCTCATGCTGGTGGCTGAAGGGAAGAAGTGGCCACCAGCTGCATACCCTGGCCTGGCCACAGTGTTGGCTTCTACCCACTGCAGCCCAGAGCTGAGGGGCAGCAGCACCTCTTGGTGCTCAGGGCCAGGGAGCCTCTCCCCGGGTGCTGCTGAGCTCCTCCAGCCCTGGAAGGGGCAGTGGGGTAAGCAGGGCCACGTGCATTACAGCCATGCTGGCCCCAGTCAGGGGAGGGAGGGGAGAAGCTGTTTACTGGGAGATGAACCATTAATGTCACTCTCTTTCCCAGTTGGTAACTTACAGAACAGCTGGAAACTGCCCCTGGGGAGGCATCCTGACGCGGTGCTGTGTGGTCCAGAGACAGAGGCTCACATCTGGGCTGCTGCTGACAGCAGGACAGGCTTCTGGCACAGCTGGGACTCACTGCAGCATCCCCGTCCTCACCTGGAAGGCCAGCCCGTCCCCTCGGGTGGCTTGCTGCAAAGGGAGAGACACAGGCACTCACAGGGTGAAGGAACACCAGCACCCACCCATGGGGGCCCCTGCAGAGCTGCCAGGGCTTGGATTCCTGTGGTAGAGTTGATGGGGTCCCCAGGGAGGCAACAGAACACCTCTGGGTGCAGCAGCTCCCCCAGCTGCACCCACCCACCCACCAGCACCTCATGCTGGTGGCAAGTCCCCCATTACCTTATTAATCTCCTTGTGTCTCTCTTTGCTGACGATTTCTTCTAGTACTTCTCCATCTCCCTTAATAAGCCTGGAAGACAAGCACAGGGCCATGAGCCATGAGGGCTACTCATCTGATGAGAAATCAGCATCCCCCTGCATGGGCCAGCTGTCCCAGGCTGTGGGCAGAGTCTGCTGTGAGCAGAGCTGGTCACGCTTGCGCACGGTAAGAGAAAACAATTGAAATACACGTCTCTCCTGCCACCCCCCCATCTGCAGAGGCTTCACTCAACAGCAGTGACCCCAATCCCCGCAAAACTTCATCCTTTT